TAAACTATAAAAGCAAAAAAGTTTAATTAAGATGAAGTGACATTATATAAATTTGAAACCACAAAAAAAACCTTTAAAGTAAATGAATGCCAATGAAGAAGAGGTTTCTGGGAATCTCAATAAAAATCTTTAAATAATTTATTGAATTCATATTAATTAGTAAATAGTAAAACAAATATAAACTTTAGGCAATTGAATATTATTCAGCATTTTCAGATGAAGATCATAAAGAATATGTTATTAGTCTTTAATAATTGTTAAGAAGAGAGAAGATGTAAAAACTATTTTAGAAAAACCTTTTTAATGATTTTATTTTATGTAGACTTAATTATTTAGATTTTTTCATTTAAAATAAAAAAGAATTTTAAGACCTAAATGAAACATAAATTACTTTATATCTATTAAATTCCTATGAGTTAATTAATTTAAAATAATTTAAAAATTGTATTTATAAATAGTTTCTAATTTTATCTTATAATCATGTATCTAAATTACAATAGCTATTGTTTAAAGCATTTTAAATTAAATCTTTTTTATTTAAGACACAAAATAATTATTTTTTTTATCTTTTTCTATTAATCTAAAACATCATTTTTTTTCTCTTTATTGTGAATAAATCTTTGATAATATTGCTTAAATTGAATTATATATCATAAAATTCAAATTCTTTTTATGAATCAATTTAATGTTCATGTTTTTCAAAAATATTCTTCACAATTTCTAATTCAATTAATTTAATTTAAGAAGGTTCAAGAATTATTTCTCTGTTTGATTTTGACTGCAATTCATATAATTATTTGCTACTTTATCTACTGATAATTAGTTTACTATCTTGATTAATTTCCTTCTGATTTTCCACAACATTCAAGATTTTTTAGCTAGATGCATTAACAGTTTATTTTTGAGTTCCTCTTGTAATCTTTAAACGTACATTAGAAATTCCTGGTTCTTAATAAATTCTATTTAAATTTCTTTGTATAGATTAAGCCATATTAGCTTAATAAGATTATGATGAAAGCTGTTATTTAAATTATGTATCTTGATTATCAGGTGAATTTAAGGATTCTTCTACTTATGATGAACCATCAACATCAAAATTCAGTTCGTCATTTTTATTGATTTAAAAGAAATCACAATCAGGTAAAAGATCTGAATATAAAAAAGTTGAGTTTCCATATTTAATGATATCTTTTTATAATAATCTTAAATTAATCATTGATTTATGAGTAAATAATTTTTAAGATATTTTTCTTTATGTAAATAATCGACCTTATTGACTATTTTTTTTTCTGAATAATCTCATATTATTGGGTGTATAAAATACAAATGGACATTTAGTAAATATGTGATTTTAATAACAAAGTTCACATCCACTAAATTTAATTCTACCTCCAAATTATATTTAGTGTTTAATCCTATAATATTTTTCTAGATCTTCTTTATTTAATTAAAGTAAACTAAGAACATCTTCAAAAGTAACATAAGCCAATTTTGAGAATTTAACTGCTCTGGATGTAAATTAAGCACAATTTTAAGAAATAAATCCTTTCTCATCTATAGCTTGCCTTCTTTTATATATCTTAACTAATTTATTATGTCTAACATTTGCTTCAACTTCACCTTTGAGTATAAAATACATTCGATCTACTTATTAACCTTCTTAAAATATAATTTCTTCAGGTACAAAACTTTATTCTTTAACTAAAAGACAAAGATTTGAAATAAATTCATCTGAAAAGTTTTATCTAAATAATTTTGATTGAAAAAATAATGATTTGTAAAAATCAATTTTGACTTCTCTTATTAATGTACCTGAAAGATGTTCCATTAATTTTTCACATTCAAAATCTGTATTTTTTTATGTTTTTAAATAGTATTCAAAAAATTTCTTAACTCTAACTTAGAGTTCTTTATTTAAACCTCTTCTTTTAATAAATGAATCAATCATAGTCATTTTATCTCTAAGATAATTTTTATTTTCAGAGATTTATGTAAATATTGCTCCAATACTAGAGATTGTATAACCAAATATTATTGAACTTAAAAGTGTAACAAAAATTACAAATAATTTTTCTATTTGCGTTACCTATTAAATAATCATATATATTACTGGGGTTATGTCTCCATAACCAATTGTTAAAGTTGTTATACAAGCCCAATAAAATGAAGTAATATATCTACTAATCCAATCAGAGTCCAATTAAGCTTTGTCTGCCCAAGTATATATAGTATCTTTATAAAGATGTTCTTAAATTGCTATAAAATGCCAAACACAAGCAATTAGATGGGATGCAAACAAAAAAGTAGCAAGTAAAGAAATTAAATCAATAGTGGCAGCAAAATTAACACGTAAATTTAATGTTTCAACCAAATTTTCGTAAATGAACATAATCTATAATTTTATATAATTTTAGAAGTTACTCTTGAAACTCTAAATAATAAAACGAATTCTATGTATGGAACATTTGATCTTCCTATCAGAAATGGAATTAAAACTATAAAATCAGTTATAAATTTCCCTTTTAAATAATGTTTTATAATCTAAAGTTAATTCAATACTAAAACTCCTCTGCTATAATAAGCAACATTAAAATTCAATAAAATCTCACAAATAAATACATATTAAGGTAAAGTTTCTAAGAAAAAATCTATACCACCATTTTATTCTTAAATTTCAAATGAAATTTTTAATGGGATGTATATAATGTTGATTATTAAAATAGTAAACACGAATAGATCCCAAAGTAACTTTAAGGTATGATTAGGAGTAATAGGGGATATATTGATTCCAAGTTGACGAAAAAAGCTTGTGATCTTCTTAAAGACAATCTTAAAATGAAACTCATAAAATAAAAAGCCATACATACACAAAAATGCTATTTCGATTTAGCTCTAATTAATCTTCTTGTCAAATAATAATTATAATCAGATGCTTAATCACCAATAACTTTGAATTGTCTTAATTCTAAGTATCTAAGTTTAAATTTATCTGAATTAGTTAATAAATAAGTAACAAATCTAGCTACTAAAACAATAACATTCAAAGCTCTTTCTTTCCAGACTTGATTCTTAAAACCTTAAACAAATTTTTCAGGTATTTCTTAAGATTCATTTGATTATACACTATCACTAGGTTCATGGGATATTTGAACTTTCTCTAATTTTGTAAATAAAATTGAAGGTTTTCGAGAAGTCTCCTCAATTAATTATTCATCTAAATTTCATAAAAATAAAATACTAGCTTAACTACAACGACTAGATAAAACTCTTGGTGTTACAGATAATAAATCAGATTATTTCTAATTCATTAATATATTTATATAATCATAATTCTAAACAATGCCTTTAGATTATTTTATTTAAATGATAATTAAAATTGCAATACTTTTTTCAACTTTGCTTTTTGCATATTTTAAGTTGAGTTCTAATAATTATTTGCTTTAAGAATAACCAGTAGTCGGAGTATTTACATAACCTTCAACATTCTCTGAATATAGTCGTGATAATTATACATACATAGCTGCCTCATATGTAAAATTCTTGGAATCAGGGGGAGCTAGAGTGATCCCAATTCCTTATGAAGCAAATTATTCTACCTTAGATGAGATTTTTTCTAATATTAATGGGATTTTGATACCAGGAGGTTCAACAGGATTGATTGGACCTTCATTATACACTTAGAAAGTTGCCTATCTTGTAAATAAAGCTTTGAAAATAAACAAAGAAGGAGGATGGTTTCCAGTTATAGGAATATGTTTAGGGCATGAAGTAATGCACTATATTCTTTCAAATTATTCTGCTGTATATTTATAGAGTTTATTTATAGAATTTCTTGATAGATGTGAAAGGATAAGATAAAGTTACCAAACCAATAAATATTTAATATAGACAGGCTTATTTTTATGGTCAAATGAATGAAGAATTATATTAAGCATCTTTAAAAGAAAACTTAGCTTACTATCATCACATTCATGCTGTATCACCTAGTTTATATGAAATTGCTCCTATCTTAAAATAATATTTAAGAATAACATCGACTCAAATTGATGATGATGAATAATTATTCATCACTTCTACTGATGGTATCAATATACCATTCTATTCATTTTAATATCACCCTGAGAAAAACCCATTTGAATGGACCATACCTGCTAATCATTCTTTACATGCTATTTAATTTAGTAGAATCCATAGTTATTAATTTATTCAATCATGTAGAATGAATACTAACAAATTTAGCCTAGATCTTAATTCACTCATCTTTAATTATAATCCTGTTTAACCTGTTAATTAAAACTACAATTAAGTTTATATATTTCATAGACTTAATACCATGGAGGACTAAGAATTATAAAACCCATGATTTTATTAATTATTATTAAATTATGAAGATAACTTTCATTATTTTACTTTTTGGATTCTCAATCCTTTAAGTACAATCTAAATCAGTTGCTAAAATGAAAGAAGTATCTACTTTAAACAATTTTTTAGTGTTTGACATATGTTTTAGGTTACAACTAATAATGTTATCAATAATATTAGGATTGTTTGCTTAAAGACATTTGTTAAGGGCTATATGTTTCAGCTAAACTTTTATGCTTAGAAGATTTTAAATATGATACTGATCAATATTTAGGGGAATGTATAAATACTTAATATGAAAAATTATAAAATGATGATGCAAGACTTTTAGTCGATTGTTTATAAGAATAATGTGACATTTTAAATAATCAAGCACAACTTTTGCCATATTTTTAAATCTTATTAATGATTTATTTATTTACTATATGATTATTCTAGACAAACTATAATATATGAAACAACATAATATTCAAATTTATTCTTGCTATACTTAAGTTTTAGTTTTATTTCTTTTTATTATGTAGATCAATAATGCGGAAAGTGCACAAAATCCACTACCTCCAAGGAGTACTAAACCTATAGTTAAACCTTTGGTTCCTAATTCTGATGCACTCTAAAGTACTAGTGTTTTTTCTCCGCCAAAAATTTTAATGGGATATTAATTATTTATGTATAAGTAGTAGCTTCCTCTATTGAGATTTCCATTAATTAATCCATAAAGAATAAATCTACTAGAATGTATTTGTGGTATGAACCAACTTTATACATATTCTAATTAATTAAGTAATTATAATACCATGTTCTACATCTAACCATTACTTAAAATAATATTAATGTCTTTTAAATTGTTTTTTATACATAGGTAATAAAAGGGCAGTTATATTAATTTTGAATTCTATATCACTTTAAATTAAGAAGGTGTCTTAATAATATAATTCCATTAATACCATTAAATATATACTTAGCTGCCAAACCACAAGGATTTGCATAATCTAGAAATAAATGATGACCACTAGCACTTAGATTTTATCTAATCATTTAAGATTGTAAGTAAGCGTTTGGACAATACTTTTTTTAATCTATATCATATCCCATTAGCTAATCCTTATTGATTGATTAAACGAAACTAAAAGTAAAAATATGTAATAACTTTAAATCATTAGAATAGAAATTAGAAAGCTCATAATATATGTAGACTGGTGTAACCATTAATTCTTCTACAAAGAATGTAATCTTACAATAGGTTTATTGATCACATTCTTAGCCATAAGGAATTCTAACTTCTTAAATATTTGTAGAGACTCCAAACAAAATCAATCCAAATAAACCCATATAAAATGATATTAAGAACAAAGTGAAAACAGCACATTTTGTTGTAGGGATTAAGGAGATTGAATCTAATCTTCCAGCTAATAATTGATCCCAATATGAAGTGGCTTCTTAGACAACTGGGTACTAGTAAGATAATTTTTTGTTTGTTCTTGGCTCTCTTAAAAAATTAACAACCTTAAAAATAATATAGCTAAATACATCCTCTTGTCTTGATTAATCAAATTGAGATTCATTAAATATGTTTGCTAGAGATCATTAAAATAATTACATGATGTATTATTAATTTTATTATAATCCATTTTACGATAAATTTATAAATAACAAAATTCAATTCTTATTCAGATTTCATAATTACAATATTAAACAAAAATTTTCTTTTCCAAACCTTTGAATTATTTTAATTCAATACATTAACAATTTTAAAGTCTACAATTAATAAATAAGAGTATTATTTAAAATTAAGTTTTCTTTTATTCAAAAAGTATCACAAAAGAAAGTTTTAATTATAAAAAACTTGTCAAGTTTCTTCATTATAAATCAAAATAATAAATATCTAATTTTTACATATATTTAATAAAAAAATTATAATTTGGATATATCTAAATTGTATTAAACTAAAAACTATGAATCAACATTTATTTCATTAGATGATGAGCAAAAAATTTTACAAATTCTGTTGATTTTATAATTTTTAGAATAATTAATAAGCATTAAATGGATAATATAAATTAGAATAAATTATATAATAAGATGTATTTAATGTGTCCAAACTCAGTCAATGATTTGACAATCTTTGCTAGGGAAGTAAAGTGAATTTTTTAAAAGGAATAAATCTGAAGAGATCAGAGATTCTCATTATTAGATATTTTATACATAAACTATTGTGTTATACTAGAAATTTACTAATAGTTATTAATCTTTAACCATAAATCGACTGATTTCAATATATCTTAGACGTCTAAATTGCAATAAATATCTAAAGACACCTAGAATAATTTAAAAAATAAGTATTTAGTTTACAAAATGAATAAAATTCAGCCTATTNCATAAGGAATTCTAACTTCTTAAATATTTGTAGAGACTCCAAACAAAATCAATCCAAATAAACCCATATAAAATGATATTAAGAACAAAGTGAAAACAGCACATTTTGTTGTAGGGATTAAGGAGATTGAATCTAATCTTCCAGCTAATAATTGATCCCAATATGAAGTGGCTTCTTAGACAACTGGGTACTAGTAAGATAATTTTTTGTTTGTTCTTGGCTCTCTTAAAAAATTAACAACCTTAAAAATAATATAGCTAAATACATCCTCTTGTCTTGATTAATCAAATTGAGATTCATTAAATATGTTTGCTAGAGATCATTAAAATAATTACATGATGTATTATTAATTTTATTATAATCCATTTTACGATAAATTTATAAATAACAAAATTCAATTCTTATTCAGATTTCATAATTACAATATTAAACAAAAATTTTCTTTTCCAAACCTTTGAATTATTTTAATTCAATACATTAACAATTTTAAAGTCTACAATTAATAAATAAGAGTATTATTTAAAATTAAGTTTTCTTTTATTCAAAAAGTATCACAAAAGAAAGTTTTAATTATAAAAAACTTGTCAAGTTTCTTCATTATAAATCAAAATAATAAATATCTAATTTTTACATATATTTAATAAAAAAATTATAATTTGGATATATCTAAATTGTATTAAACTAAAAACTATGAATCAACATTTATTTCATTAGATGATGAGCAAAAAATTTTACAAATTCTGTTGATTTTATAATTTTTAGAATAATTAATAAGCATTAAATGGATAATATAAATTAGAATAAATTATATAATAAGATGTATTTAATGTGTCCAAACTCAGTCAATGATTTGACAATCTTTGCTAGGGAAGTAAAGTGAATTTTTTAAAAGGAATAAATCTGAAGAGATCAGAGATTCTCATTATTAGATATTTTATACATAAACTATTGTGTTATACTAGAAATTTACTAATAGTTATTAATCTTTAACCATAAATCGACTGATTTCAATATATCTTAGACGTCTAAATTGCAATAAATATCTAAAGACACCTAGAATAATTTAAAAAATAAGTATTTAGTTTACAAAATGAATAAAATTCAGCCTATTATGATAGAAAAGTTTACAGTGAATCTATATATACATAATGAAAACCATTGAATACATTTTGTTTGGGAAAGGTTTGATAAAAAAATAAAAATAAATTAAATTCAGCCAAATCAGTCTGAAGAATATCTAGAAAAATTAAAATAGAATTGAAAATAAAATAAAATAGATAAATCATCTTCTATTCAGGATTTTTCTGAAGGATTCTGTATCAACTATTATAATTTAATACCATTTTTTAAATGATAAAAAAAAATCAGTTTATATTTGTTCTTAAAATAATTTTAATCTATTTTAGTTAAATAAAAGTATTAATTATTAGTTTTAAAAGCATAAACTTAAATAAAGCTGAAAAAAAATATCCAAATATTTAAGAAAGTTATCATAATTTGATAAAAAAAAAATAAAAAAATGATAATATCTATTATAATTTTTCATTGAAAATATGAATAAATTTTATTTAAATTAATAATTTGATGAATAATCCTGTTTTTATTGCTGCAAAAACAGCTTTATCTAAATAATTAAAGATTGCTGATCCCACTGAAATGTATAAATACTTTGTAACATATCCAAATTTATGTTCAAAAGAATAATTACAGAAAGAAAATCCCATAGAAATACTAAATAAATTAATATTTTTAGGAGGATTCCATGAAAGAAGAAACTGTGGAACTATAATTAAAGATATGGTTGCTAATTGCCTCAGATAATTTAGAAATTTTGAGCCTGATTTAGATGTTTCAAATTTAGTTCAACTATTCTTAACATTAAGCAATGTTCTTTTATATGATGAAAAGTTAATTAATTTAATTCTTAATTAATTGAAACAAAAGCAAGATCAAATTTAAATTAAATAATTACAGTCCATTACGCATTGTTTATTTAAATTAGGAATATAAGATTAATATTGGCCTAATCTTATGCATCAAAAGGTAATGAGATACAGTTAAGTATTTGGAATTTAAGATTTAGTATAACATATTCATATAGTTAGTAATTAAGTTTTATTAAATAATTGTTAAGAAGAAAGATTATTTTAATTATTAGAATTATTGCAATATAAATTTTTACATCAAAAAAAGCATATCTACTTATCTAAATTTTAATTTTAGTATACATAGTTATTATTTAATTTATATCCAGAACTAATAAAGTAAAATTATGATCATCCTTATTGCAATGAAGATAATAAATATAAAATTTTCTTTGATTAATTTAAGAAAGATTATTAAATTTGTCGATTGCTTCTTGATAGAAAAGTAAATAGCATAACAGTGGATTATTTTGAAAATGATAACTTTCCAAATTTAATAAGAATCAAGGATGATGTAATTGAAAAAAAAAAATCATTATTTGAATAAAATATTGAACAATTATTAAAGAGTTTGAAATTGCATTATTAATAACAAAAAAAAATATGCATTTACGAGATTGATTTTTTTGTGGAGAACAAATTTTTATTAAATTGTAATGGACCAACTCACTATATTTAGAATTTAGATAAAGAAGTCTTAAGAATATCTCCTAATTTTTTAATGTAGCAAAGGTAAAAGATAATACTTAAAAAAAAGACATTTGGGACAACTAGATAATTATCAAATAATAGACTTAGATTTTTATATTTGGGACAAATACGATACATCAGATAAATATACCTAAGAGTTTAAGAAATTGTTAAATTTAATGTGAATAATAAAATTATTCAATTTAAAATCTTACATTATATTTCTGCAAGTTTATCCCTCACTTCTCTTAATTAAAGTTTTAACTCTTATATTGTAGATTTATTATATGTAGAAATGATTTCTTTTTCTAATCTTTAGATTTCTTATTATAAAAATTAATATTAAAGTTTATAATCTATCTTAATTGACAATCTCTATACCCTCATTTTTACCAACACTTTTACTTCTATTATCTTATCTAAAAGTAAGACTTCTTTTTGGAAGATGTGCTTATTTAATTTCATCTTTATTTTGGACAGAGTCGAATTATTATAATAATTATCTTTAATTGTAGATACAGGCTTTAAAATTGCAACACTTAATATCAAAAATCTAAGCTTCAATCATTTTTATAAAATGAGGGTTTAAAAAGAATCTAAAAATTATAATTGAAATACCTTTCAGTCAAAGTCTTGATATCTAATTTCGAAAATTAGACATCATTTGATTCTGATGTTAATAAAAACTAGCCTTAATGATCTCTATTGCAATTATATTTATTTTGTTTTTATAAATTTCCTTTAATTTTATTTTCTCTATACAATTAAGAGACACATTAATCAAAGAGTTCTTTTAAATTTTTAGGTGCTTAATTTTCGATTAAAGGAGTTTTAATATTTTTAATTTCAATAGTTAGATGAGGAGCAATTTGAGATTATATTTAAGTATAAGGTAAATTAGGTTAGCGATATATAGTAGAAAATTCTATAATAAAAAATAATAAAACATTCTTTATTTATATGAGATGATAATCTTTATGTCTCAAGTTTTTAAGTATGAGTATTAGTTTCAGTTTTTAAGTTAGTTTGTAGTTATTATTATTTTTATGATTTTAAAATGTCAATAAGACGTGAATTAGTTTCTTTTTCTTCAAATAATTAGTTTTATAATTGCTTACATATTAATATTGAAAATACTTTAACTTAAAGTTACAAAGTAGTTCGTAATTGATTTAAGTATTAACACTCATTTTTATAAAATTTTAATTCTTTACAAATTACCTCTTCCTTTTATTAAATCAGAAATATACATAAGATTCTTTAGGAAATTATTGAAATTATAATGAATCAAGAGTATCATTAACTAATTCTTATATTTTTAAAGATTAGATTTTTTCTTCCTTAAGTATAGTTGCCAATTTTAAACAAAATTCTGTGTATGTTAACATAATTAAATATATATTTTTTAAAAATACTAATCTCATTTATGACCAAATTGATTACTTGCAATACGAGGACCTTCTTTTAATCTAGCTTAAGCTGTAACTGGTAATTTATAAGTCTTATCACTATCTTTAATGATTCTTTCAAAGATTCTATTAACACCATGTCTTGAACGAGTTTTATGCATAATCCAAGATTTCAAGTAATAACTTGAATATTTCTATATTTATACCCTTTATTTCCATATCCTTAAAATTTCTCAGTTACAATATCATATTTTTTAGATTTCTTTTCTTCAAATAATTTCTTTATTCTTTCTTATTCTTTTTCTGATAATTTTGCAATATCAACATTTCTATCAGGTGTCTTAAAACTAATTTATTTATAAATTTAATATATATACTTTGTCTATAAATATCCTGATTCTATTTTTCTCATTTATTCTATATCAACTCCATAATCTACTGCTCCAAATTATCTTTCAAAATATAATTCTATTGCTATCAAATCTCTTAAATATTCAAATGGAAGATGTGGAAATACTTCATCAAAAAAGTATCGTTTTTAATATATAATAGCTTTAACTCTATAAGGCATTATTCCATATTTAATTGATAAATCTCTAACTGTCCAACCCTCATTAAATAATCCAAACAATTCAAATTTTGCTCTGAATGATAATTTTGGTGCAGGTAATCTTCTACGTTTTCTTTATAAATTATCCTCTTTCATTAACCATCTTTAATTATCTTTTATTTTCCTTTAAATGAGTTTTTTTGCTCTTCTTGTTCTTCTTGCCTTCTTTTTTCTCCATAAAAGAAATAATTCTCTTTTTGGAGGTATCTTACTAACAACTTTATTGTTTTCAGGATTTTCATAAATAAAACTATAAATATTTTCCTTTTCTTGTCTTTCCTTTACATTTTCATCTAAATCACCATAAAAATTCAATCTATTTTTATATTTAGATTCATTTTTTTCATAATCTTTATGACTATATTTAATTGCTAATAGATTCTTATCAAAAAGTGAATAATCTTGATAATCTCTATTCTCTCTTAAAAAAGTATCCCAATCTTTTTTTAATACATCAGATCTTATTATATCTTTACTTCTTTTTAATTATTCTTCAGGACTCAAACTTTAATAATATTATGCAAAACTATTTATATTTATCAATCAAATATCTACCTATAGTTAAGAACATTCATATATTAAGCAATTACTGCTTTTTCACTTGCTGATCCTATTTATTATTATTTCTCCTCTTCTTAATCTTTTTTAAATAAGTTAAGAACAGATTCTTCACCTTATTTTATTATTGTCAAATTTACTTTATAAATTATCAGCCAAAGACTTGTAAGACTTTTTAAGCTCATTAATGAAATTCTCTTATTATTTTGTTATCACTCTTTATTTTACTTTTGCTGTTGAACTTGAGAAATTCACCCGATGAATAAATGGATTTCTCAAATGTAAAAAAGCAAATTTAATCATTAAATAATTTAAAATCACTTTCACAACTAAATTTCTCATAAACTTTAATTTTCTTAAATTTATTCATACCTCTCTTTCATTTTACAATTATGCGTCCAAATAAGGTATTCAAGCCTTTATAAAATATTTTATAACTCTTATCTTTAAAGATTTATTTTGCATCTTTTGGAGGTTATATAATATTTAAAGAAGAACTAATTATCATTTTAAATGTATTTTGAATCAAACATCTTATATATACAGTTGTAATTAATATTATATTTAAACACTTAAATAAATAAAAAACAACAAATTCTATTTATGGATTATACTAATACTACTTGTGCACTTATTAAAGAAAAAGAAAATTGAAGATCAATAAAATGAAACTTTTTAAAATAAATAATTTAGCAAGAGAATGTAAAATTCTTAGATTTTTAAATTTACTTCATAAAGTAGAATTTTAATGTATTTTGAAGTTGTTTATTTAAAAATTAGAAATGAAGTCCTAATTTAGTAAATGCTTTATTAAATATTATTAGTTTAAGTAATATTCAACCAAATTATATTGTAGATTTTCCTCCTGGTGGATTTTTTACTTTAACAGATGTTTGTGAACCTATATAATAATATTACAAAATATTAATAAAACCTTATTCTTGCCATTATTAGTCATCTCTACCAAGTGTAAAATGACTTGCATTAGAATCTCTTACAGTTCTTTTTTATAACTAAGGAACAGGTTCATATTAACCCTAATTTATTTTTTAAATTTACAAAGGAAATAGACGAATTACCTCCAGGTGCTTATGATGTTTTTGTGGATGGCTTTGAAAGTGAATATCCTTAGATGTTGTTCATAATTTAATTATTAATGATTACTTTCAATCACTTCATATTATATAAAAATTCATTCAATATCTTAAATTTATAGTAAATATTCAAATTCCAATAATTTTATTTTTATAAGCTGTTGTAAATTATTTAATGCTGTGTACAAAAAATCAAATTCATAGAAAAAATGCTTCTAATGCCAAAAGCAATGAAACACAAAAGAAAAGTAGTAACTAATATTAATAAAGATAATCTAATATTTAGATAGTTTAATAATTATTATGTTTGTAAATGCTAAAGAAATTGGTATCAGGAACATCAAAATCATAGAATAAGAATAATTCAAAGACAAGAATACGTACAGAAGGGAATGAAAAGTAATTTAAAGTTCATGCTTCTGCATCTCCAAAAAAAGAGAAAGAATAATCAGTATCCCCTCCTTAAAGAAACACTAATTCTTAAGTCGAAGTTATTACAAACTTATTAAATTCAAATATGATTCATAATGAATATAAAAGAATATCAAGAGATTAAAGAAATCAAAGCGCGGACTTTTAATAATTATTAGCATAATAACAATAAAGATAAGAAAATTTGTAATGGAAAAACAATTGCAAAAAGAAATTTAACTCTTATGGTAATCTAAATGATTAAGTTTATTTTTCTTAAAGAGGGGGACTAACAGAATGCCAATCAACAGTTTAACTTGTTAAAAATAATGGTGAATAGAAATTAATGAATTAAAAAGGCTCATACTCTATGAAACACTTTCCATCTCCAATGAATATTTGTACATAATAAATTAGTTTATAAGAATTTAAAGAAAAATTAAGTAATTTAACTAAAGATATAAAACAAAATAAAAATTAAGTGGAAGAAGAATTATAGAAAACATAAAAAAAACAATAACATATATATGATTAGTATGATAATAAAGAAAGTGAAAAATAAATCAGATAAGAAATCTCTTAGAGGAGTAAATCAGTAGATTCTTCATCATCTAGGTCTCAATTAGAGAATTTGAAATATTAAAAGGAATGCATAAATTAGTATAAAATTAAACATCAATAAAATGGGAATTAGGAAGAATATATTCATAATACATAAAGTTATATAACATAGATGAAATTGGAGAGTAAAATTGATTAATTAGTGTTTCAAGTGTAAATTTTAAAGAAAAAATCAGAAGAGTTAGAATTACAAAACAAATTTTTATTTGATAATTTAACAAAATTTTAGAAGGATTCTGATTGTAGTGCTGATGTATCATATATTAATAAATATAAATAGGAACGAAATTTGCTTATGAATAAATTAGATTAAATGATTGGAATGTAAAAAAGATAAGAAGAGAATCTTAATTTTTTTAAATAGATATTTGCCAAAGGTTATGATTAGTCTCGAAGAATAAAAACTGAATAGTAATAATAATAAAAAGAAGAAGATAATTTAAAACCAAATTAAAAAACAGAAATATTATCAAAATAAAGACCATTTGTCAAGTCAGCCTATCAAGGACTTGATTTTAATGTCTGATGTTAATTTAAGTGAATAGAGAATTTTTTGATTTATATATTTAATTCAACATAATAACATAAGTGATAAATGTGTTTTGAATTTTCAATATTATTAGATTTCTAAGAAATATGAAAATGGTTTTGAATACTGGTATTAGAATAATTGAATTTTATCTATTTGTTGAATAGTTTAGATGAATAACTAAAAAAATTAATTATTTTAACAACCTTGAAATGAAATCTAAGTATTATCCTTAAGAAAAAAAATTGACTGTAATGATGAATAAGATTTAATAGAATATATCATTTGATTTGAATTCAAATAACAAGCCAAAATATTATATATCAAACACAACATGCCACAAAGATAATTAAAAGTTTTTTAATTGCACCAATATGTCTCCAATAATAGTTGATTCATCTACTCCAAGAAAAAGACTTATTTCTGGCAAACGAGTTAGTATTCATTATTCAAAATTAGGCTTAACCAAAGGCAAATTCTTCTCATAATAACTCAAACAATAAAATTTAAAATCGATAGAAAAAATCATCATCAAATTAGAGAACTAATTTAACAGTAAAAACAGGATCATCAATTGAGGCTTTAAAGGAATTAATGGGGAAAAGTATATTTATAAAATAATAATAGGCAACTTTAAATAATTATTGTAAATTAATACAGATAAATTCAAGAATTCAAAAGAAATACCATTTATTGATACAAAAAAGAGTAATTCCACTGAGTTTGGATTTGATAATAGATTCAATAAAAATTTTCAATAAATTAATTAATAAGGTAATAAAAGCACAACAAATAAATCAGGATCAAAAGATAAATCTTCATTATAAGTAAAACTAATTGACTAAAAAAATAGAAAGTATTTTCAAAGATTATAGATTAAGAAAAATCAATGTCACCTACTAAGAAAGTTGATTGGAATAAAATTAAATTACCGTTAACTCCAAAAGAATGTATTTAATAATTTGAATAATATTTGACAGAATATGAGAAATAAGAGATTCATGGATTTAGTAGAGTAATTTTAATTTAATACTTTAGATATATTGTATAGGATTGACATCCAAAAAAATAGATTAAAAATAATCAAATTATAATGATGGATTTGATGATTCAAAAGGTGAATATTTGTATTCTCTTAATGATCATATTGGATATAGATATGAAATTTTAGAAATAGTTGGAAAGGGAAGTTTTGGATAAGCATTTAAAGTTTTTGATCATAAGAGATAATAAGTCTAATGCTTAAAAATAATAAGAAATAAAAAGAAATTTACAAATTAAGCTTTAGTAGAATTAAATATTTTAACTTATGTTAAAGAAAAAGATGAAGAAAATGTTACCAATATAGTAAAAATAAAAGATTTTGTGATTTTTAGAAATCATGTGGTATATTTTATTAAATATATATATTAGTGTATATCTTTTGAATTTTTATCAATAAATTTGTATTAATTGATAAAAAACAATAACTTTTAAAGTTTATCATTAGAACTTATTAGAAGATTTGCAATTTAAATTTTAAATGCATTGAATTTTTTAAATAAACATAAAATAATTCATTGTGATTTAAAGCCAGAGAATATATTATTAAAGTAATAAAATAAAAGTGGAATTAAAATAATAGATTTTGGGAGTAGTTGTTTTGAAAATTAAAAGATTTATTCTTATATTCAATCAAGATATTATAGAGCACCAGAAGTAATGTTTGGAATTCCTTATGATACAAGTATAGATATGTGGAGTTTTGGATGTATTATGGCAGAATTATATTTGGGATATCCAATATTTCCAGGAGATGATGAATAAGAACAGATTGCTTATATTTTGGAAATACTTGGAATGCCTGATAATGAAATTTTAGAAGTATATAAATGAAAATTATAAAAGATTGCATAAAGAAGAAAAGTATTCTTTACAGATTCTCCTCCATTTTAACCTTTATGTATGTAAAATAAAGGTACAAAATTGAGAATACCAGCAACTAAAACTTTATCAGAAGTATTATAATGCAATGATGATAATTTTATTGATTTCTTAAAATAATGTTTAGTATGGAATCCAAAGAAAAGAATAAGTCCAATAAATGCTCTTATGCATATATGGATTCTTGAAGGATTACCTAGTTAAATAAGAGTTTAACATGTTTAATATTTAGAAAGTTAATAATAATATTGTGATACTAATACTGTCAAATAGGGTTAGTAAGGATAATAAAAATTGCATAATCATCATATTTCTGAGCCAGAGATGAACTAGGAAAATAAAGTAATTAAGAATTTGTATCATCATTAGAAACCTAATTAGATTAGAACCTTCTCAAGAGAAAAAGAATTATTGATTAATGTTTCATAGAATCCAACCCCTAATAATAAGAAAATTTCATCATCTTTTCATTCTAGCAAGAATAGTAATAAATAGCAAATGAATTTTGTTTAATAATTACCAGGAACTACAAAGTATGCTAATAAAAAAAGTCATTATTTTTATTGATGCTTAATTAATTTTGATAACACTTTTTATATATATATATATATTATACATATATATTAAGATTTCTAAATATTAAAAATTTGAAAATAAATATGTCATAATACGATAATCCCAATAATTGTTTAGATGGTTTTATTGAATAACTCAATAAATGTAAGCCATTGACAGAAATGGATGTTAAATGGCTTTGTGAAAAAGCAAAAGAGATTTTGTAAGATGAGAGTAACGTTCAACCAGTTAGAGCTCCAGTTACTATTTGTGGTGATGTTCATGGGTAATACCATGATTTAATGGAATTATTTAAAATTGGAGGTAAAAATAAAGAAAATAATATAAAGGTAATGTACCTGATACAAATTATCTTTTCTTGGGAGATTATGTTGATAGAGGATATTATAGTGTAGAAACAGTATCATTATTATTGGCTTTAAAAGTCAGATATAAAGTATCAAAGAATTAAATTAAAAATAGGATAGAATAACTATTTTAAGAGGAAATCATGAATCAAGATAAATTACATAAGTATATGGATTTTATGAAGAATGTGTAAGAAAGTATGGTAATGCTAATCCATGGAAGTATTTCACTGATTTATTTGATTATCTTCCAATAACAGCGGTCGTTGAAAATTCAGTATATTTTATATAATATATAAGATCTTTGGCTTACATGGAGGATTATCACCTGATGTAACAACTCTTGATGAGATAAGAAGATTAGATAGAATTCAAGAAGTACCTCATGAAGGTCCTTTATGTGATTTATTATGGAGCGATCCTGATGGTACTTTTATCATAATATCCAAAGATCGAAATGGATTTAATACATCACCAAGAGGAGCTGGCTTTACATTTGGAACAGATATATCTGAAAAATACAATCATACAAATGGATTGACAATGATTGCTAGAGCACATCAATTGGTTATGGAAGGATTTTAAGAAACTCATGATAAAAATTGTGTGACATTATTCTCTGCTCCTAATTATTGTTATAGATGTGGAAATTAAGCTGCTATTCTAGAAGTTGATGAACATATGAATCAAAATTATTTGCAATTTGATCCTGCTCCTAGAAGAGGTGAACCTCATTTAACCAAAAAAACACCTGATTATTTCTTATGAAATTTAAAATTTTGGTTGTTTCAATTAATATTTATTAATAAATATATATGACTCAAGTCATAAAATATTATCCCTAATATTGAAAATGAAATTTATAATTATTATTATCAATTTCTTTCTTACCATAATATATCAAAAAAAAGTACAAAGAAAAATTACAATAATAAAATCATACATTCTCTTTCTCTTAAGATCGAAAGACTTAAATTAGAAAAATAACCATAAATATTCTCACTTGATTTCAAGATANGAGATTATGTTGATAGAGGATATTATAGTGTAGAAACAGTATCATTATTATTGGCTTTAAAAGTCAGATATAAAGTATCAAAGAATTAAATTAAAAATAGGATAGAATAACTATTTTAAGAGGAAATCATGAATCAAGATAAATTACATAAGTATATGGATTTTATGAAGAATGTGTAAGAAAGTATGGTAATGCTAATCCATGGAAGTATTTCACTGATTTATTTGATTATCTTCCAATAACAGCGGTCGTTGAAAATTCAGTATATTTTATATAATATATAAGATCTTTGGCTTACATGGAGGATTATCACCTGATGTAACAACTCTTGATGAGATAAGAAGATTAGATAGAATTCAAGAAGTACCTCATGAAGGTCCTTTATGTGATTTATTATGGAGCGATCCTGATGGTACTTTTATCATAATATCCAAAGATCGAAATGGATTTAATACATCACCAAGAGGAGCTGGCTTTACATTTGGAACAGATATATCTGAAAAATACAATCATACAAATGGATTGACAATGATTGCTAGAGCACATCAATTGGTTATGGAAGGATTTTAAGAAACTCATGATAAAAATTGTGTGACATTATTCTCTGCTCCTAATTATTGTTATAGATGTGGAAATTAAGCTGCTATTCTAGAAGTTGATGAACATATGAATCAAAATTATTTGCAATTTGATCCTGCTCCTAGAAGAGGTGAACCTCATTTAACCAAAAAAACACCTGATTATTTCTTATGAAATTTAAAATTTTGGTTGTTTCAATTAATATTTATTAATAAATATATATGACTCAAGTCATAAAATATTATCCCTAATATTGAAAATGAAATTTATAATTATTATTATCAATTTCTTTCTTACCATAATATATCAAAAAAAAGTACAAAGAAAAATTACAATAATAAAATCATACATTCTCTTTCTCTTAAGATCGAAAGACTTAAATTAGAAAAATAACCATAAATATTCTCACTTGATTTCAAGATACTATACATTTGTTAATATTTGTTAGTTTTATTTTATTTTAGTTTTTAAAAAGAATTATATTTTAAATAAGTTATTAAAATCTTCAGTTTTTATGCTTTAATAACCATTTATTAAATATTCAAATCAAAATTCATCAAGTTTCACTTGAATTAAATAAATCTCATAATTATGATCAAAGAATAAAATATTTTATTTTATGTATTTTATTTCATTTAATTAGAATGCTATCTCAATAATTAATATTATAATAATTTTGTCTTTAATTTAAAATAACATTTATTTAAATTCAATGGTCATTATCATCTTTAAAAATTAAATAAACATTCAGCATGATTTAAAACTTTGTTTTAAAAATTAAGAAAGTTATTGGATAAAATTAATTTGTTATTTTTAGATTATCAAAATATTACAAAAAATAACAAATTTATGATTGTAAGTTAATGTAGTCATCACCAAAACCAAAAACTTTTTATTGGCTGACTTTGATTTATAGGATTCACATAATTAAGAAAATCTTTCCAATATCAGAAAAATTATCTAATCTTCAACAATAATTGATGTAGGGAATATTTAATCTATTGATAATAAATTGTTTAAAAAAGAAGCCTTTAATAAAATGTGATAATTTTAGAAGATTAAGCAAAAAAGAAAAATTAATTGAATTGAAGTGAAGGAAAAACTTAAAATGAGAATATATTTAGAGAATTAAAATGAATATTGAAAAATTAAGAATAAAAAACTTAAAGGGTTTAAATTTAAGAAAAGAAATAGTAATAAATAAGAGATAAAATCATGAAGAAATAACTGACGCAGTATAAGATTAAATTAATTAAGACAGAAAAAAAGTACAAAGAACAAACCAAAGAATAGAATGCTGAAGAAATTTGATATAAAATATTTTATAATTATAGGAAGAGTTTATAGGGAAATAATTAAGTTATTACAACATTAGATGTTTTGGTATTAGAACTCGAAGAAATATTAAAAATTATAAAGAAATAGTATAAGCGCATTGAGTTGAATGCTTTTAAAGATATAAATAAAAGAAAAGCCACTGTAGGGAGTATTATTAAAAATTATTGATAAAACATGCAATAGGGGTTGAAAATACTTTAAGAAAATGATCTATTAAACAATTTATGTATGAAAATAAGAATTTGCATTTTTTTAATAATTTTAAAAAATGTCTCAAATGGAAGAAGAATATTGTAATTTAGAGGATGAAGTTGCATTACTTACTTGTAGCAGATCTCCAAAGTCTAAGAAAATAAAAAAAAGTGATTGTCTTTCTCCAAGAAAAAATATTGGTCATTGGACGAAGGACGAACATGATAAATATTTACAATTCTTAGAAGATCATGCTCATTTAAAGAAAAACAACAAAATCTTTAAACCAATGTCAGAAATCATTGGAACTCGTTCTCCTAGTTAATGCAGGTAAATAATTCAATGGAATTTAGATCTCATCATCAAAAATTCAATCCTTTATCCCCGTAAGTCTAGAGAAAAACTGTAAAATTGATAAAATCAAGTTAAGAAATAAAAGTAGCAACATAATAGTATGAGGAAACTAATTAAACAATAGATGATGAAAAATAAATTAAAATGAAAGTTAGATTAGTCATGTATGATGATGATGAATTAGTATAAGAGGATAAAGAATTTGATTTAGATGAATTGATCTGATACATTATTCATTTTTATAATTTAATTCCTTTTCTTTTTTTATTTTTATGACAAACATAAAATTGCTTATTTTTAGTATAATAAAACAAAAAGAGCATAAAAAAATAATAATTATTGACCTCAGTACTATCTGATTAAAAATATAATAAATATATTTGTAATTATGAATACGAGAGAAATAGTAGAATATGAATTGTAATAAATTAAGGATAACAGCCGAAAGTATCCTTTATTGTAGAAAGTAAGATCTTCACGTCTATTCACTTCAAGGTTTTTGAATCAAATCTCTCAGAATTAAATACTCATACTTTATTATAGCAATTATTGCCCTTGTTAGTCAGCTCAAAAAATAATAAATTAATCTCATAAGGAATAGGACTTATTTAGAAATTGCAGCATTAGCTTTAATTAACTACAGTATTATCAATATATTATTAGAATGATCTTGATATCATAATTGAATATTTTAATAATTCAAAATCTTAACAAGATGAAACAATAGATATCAGACTAGTCTCAACTTTAATTCATATTATTGGTCCAGATGTAATTGATTTTACAAATCTTAATCACATTTTGAAGGTCTTAAATTTGTTAATATATTTTTCATCTTCAGACAATCCAATAATAGCATAATCATCAATTTAAGGCATTCTTACACTTAGTAATGTTTTGGAAGAATTATTATAGAGTTAATCAAAAAATATAATATTGCAATCCTATTTTGAATTATTAGAATTATTTTTTAACATTTTTCAAGATAAGGAGCAATCATCTATTTATGTGTCAAACAACTTAATATTATGTATTTATCATATCTGATTTCAATCACTTTAGGTAAAGATATTTTCATCATAATTCTGAAATGTGGAAAAAATTTACAATAAATCGAGAAATTTCGTACTTTTTATTTTGATAATCTTTATACTTACTTAACCAATATTGATTTAATGAGAGAATCAAATATAATGAACAGTAAATTGTATTTATAAATTTAATTAGAAATCAATATTATAAGATTGATATTCACTTATATATTAACTATTGAGGAGAAATTTGAATTAGTTTCTCAATTGATGACTGTGTATAGTAAATTACAACAGTATGATTAAAGTAAAATAGCTATTCATGATGGCATTTTATGTCTATATTCAAATCTTTCAATATTCAAAAATTTATTAACACGATAGCCATCTAGTATCATTTATAATGGTAAAATTTATTTAATTATTATAAGATTATAATGAATTAATATTGAAATCAATTTATTAACATTCTCTATTCGGAATTAGAGAATTTTAGACTTAATAATCTCCAAAGTAGAACATTTTAATAAACAAATTAACAGCATCTTACATTGATTGTAATTTACAAATGATTCCAAATATATTTGTTTAACAAATAAGTAATATAAAATACATTAAAAAGTTAGAAACTTTAATCTAGATAATTACTGATAATATCTAAAAATGTTTATAACAAGATGAGTGTTAGAAAGAAGGAAATTGTTTATTGTAAGAAATTAGAAACTAAAGCAGACTTCTTTAGTCACAACTATTTAATGCAGAAAATGAGGATCAAATTGCAGATATATAAGAAACAGAAAGTGATGATATTAAGTTTAGAACTTAATTTGATAAATTATGGCGACCTCTTCTTAGAATTATGAAATAAATACTAAGAATAGCTAATAATTAATAATACATTAATTTATTAGAATATTTATCATCTTGGATAACACTTAGTTTATAGTAAGAGTAAATTAGCAGCTTTTAATTATTAATCAGATTTTTAGCTGCTTAATCTGCTCCATTATCATTAAAATATATTGAAACAGATAAATGGTTAATTGCATGCAAAGTATTTGAAGAAATTCTTTATAATAATGTAAATTTAATCACAGCAAAAACATGGAATCTTATCTTCTAAACTTTACAAAGAATAGAATAAGTTGTTATAAAATCAAAAGAAATAAAAATGACTACAGAGATCTTTATAAGAAGTAATTAATATAAAGATGCAACAGTTTATCAAATGGTTGATGGATTAAATTAATTGGCACTTTAAGTTTCAGAAAGACTTTAAATAAGTTAAAAAAAAAATTTTGATTCAATTTATAAATCATTTGCAATAGATAAGCTATTACTCATAATTAATAATAATTGGTAAAGAATAGATATGTTATGGACAATTATAGATGCTTTGTATGTATGTCTTTGTAGTTCAAAAGTTATGGAAATGCGACTTAATGCTATTCATACATATAAAGATACTATATTTTCAGGAATTGAATATACTAAAAATAATAAGTTAAAATGGGGAGATAAATGGATTCAACATATATTAAATCCATTATTGGAATTAATATTACTACCATATGATGATGTTATAGAAAATATTCTATAATTAATAGCGACTTTAATTAAAGATCATGTTAAGTATTTACCTACATAAGCATTCTAAGTTTATATTTTATTAATTGAAGTTGTTTTAGATGATTTTTTTACCAAAGAAATGGCTCAATAAGAATTAAGTCAATAAGAACATAAATCTTTAATTTTTAGAACATAACTATCAATTTATTGTATGTCAGATATAATATTTAATCATATTGATTCATTAGATACTTCTTCAATCTGTAAATTATCGAAAATATTGGTATCTTTAAATAAACAAGAAGAATGTAAAATTTTATTATAAAATAAGTTAATTATGAAATTACAAATAAAATTATTTGTATGACTTGGTAAGTTCAAGAGAAGCTTGTTAAATTAGAGATGAAGAATTAGGAATTTTGGTAAATTACTTTGAAGTTATTTAAAAATTGTTTAGATAATCAAGATGACTTAAAATATGCTTCAATTCATATTTCAAGTTAAATTTGTTCTATAGCAAAGGATTCTTAATTCACAGATTTATTTTAATTACTTGAAGAGTTAATTCAGCATTCTATGGAATATTATCTTAAAGTAGAATAACATTAGCTATCCCTAATTTAATAGACACCTAGATTTACATAATTACCTATGGAAACTCCTAAATTTTAAGGATCAATTAAATAAATGATTTTTGATAAATCAACATCCTTATAATTATTTAAGTAATAATTTGAATTAGTGAAATTGTGTATTTCAAAAATTACAGATGTAATTATTAACAAATAATTATATCCTAAATTTTATTATTATTTGCAATTGTTTAATTAAGCATAATGTGTTTATGTAAAGCATGAGATAGTTTTGGCTTGTTAAAGAATAATACAATCAAATTAAGATAAGTAGCTATTGTTAGGTTCTATAGATTTTCTAATCACACTAATTAATTATGAATAAACTTTAGATATGGAAGATATTTAATATTATTTTGAAAATAGAACTTTCTAGATATTTTGTGATGTAATAAAATTAACTATTCCAATAAATCATAAGAAAGGTTTACATGCACTCTAATTGCTTTTTAATTTTTTATGTCAAGATTCAGCTATTTAACTTTTTAATGATGATACCAATATATTCAAATATTATTATAGATAATGTTGTTAATTTGATAATATTGAAGAGGAATTAATTGCTGAATGGATGCACTTTATAAATTAATAAATATCTTAATTGGGAATTGTAACAAAACATCATTACTTTATTGAGTTTCTAATTAATTGTTTTGAGGCGATAATTAGTAAAAGGCAATTGAATTAAAATGATTTAATTGAGGCTTATAAATTTGTAGGTGTTTTGAATGGTTTTTTAAATGTAAAGATTAATTTATTAAATATAATAGAAATGCTAAAAATTTATAAATGATAATTCTGAAAAATTACAATTAATTTTGATTACAAAACTCAAAAATATCATTACAATAATTATTCCATTTTTAGATTACAATTAAATTCAAAAGTTGTTTGAGCCTTTAATCACATCATAATTAACAAGTATTATTAATTATTAAAATTATTTAGTAACTAACAAAAGAACTCAAGATTGGATTACCTTTTTTATAAATGATGAATAATATTTAAATGTTGAATAATAAGATGTAGTAGTTTAATTGTTTACTAATTGTTATATAAATAAATTAAAGATGTCCGATTTAGAAACATAATAATTAATTATAGTGAGTTTAGTAGGATTTTTAGAGATGGAGAATTCTATAGTAGAAAAGTTTTCATTGTCTATTCGAGTTCATCTTTTAAACAGCATTCATGAAAATTTAAAAGAATTCTTGAATGAAGAAAACCCATCATTTGAAAAATAATTTAATATATAGCTAATCTTAGATTATTTAAGTAGATTAGATAAAAATGATTTAAAGGAGTTTTATTTAACATTTGTAGAAATGATAAAATGTGAGTAATTAGAAATAAGAACAAAACTAATAACACTTCTTGGTAAATATTTTTGATTTTATATTTATCTATATATATAAATTCTAAATCTATGTAGCCAAATTTTTTACACTCTTATAAATAATCAATATTAAATCTATTTACATATATTAACGTATTTTTAGACAGCCTGAGAAAATTCTGCAAAACTAATTTTTTCATCTCCATTCTGATCAAATTGATTGAATATCTCTTTACAATCATTATCATAGTCTTCTCTTCCAATGAATTTAAATAATTCATCTAGAGTGATGCCTCCATCTTTATTCTTGTCCAATACATCAAATGCTATTCTAATTTTTTCTTCATTTTTAATAAATTATTTTACCATCTATATCTGGTAATTTACAAGTTGCAGCTACAAATTCACTAAAATCTAATGAACCACTTTAATTGACATCCAAAAAATCGAATATTTTATCTACTTTATCATCTAATTGATTTTTTGAATATATTTATTGTAATGCACATTTAAGTTCTTCTTTTGAGATGGTTCCTAATAATCTCATATAATCAATAATACCATTATTATCTTTATCAATTTTCCGAAATATTCGATTCAACACTTTTTTATCATCCTTATGAACTAATTCAGTTGATATAAATAGAACTATGGCTTATAAAAATCTGCTTTATTTAATATCATTATCTTAATCTTCAGTGTAACCATTAAATTATATCAAACTCTCCTTAAAATCTTATGAAGGTATTTATTCAGATGAATGACTAATAAATTAGAATATTTAAGAAATTATACCTTTCAAACCATGGATCTTCCAAAACTTATTAAGCATTAGGTCTTAATTCTGGATTTTTCTCTAACATTCTTTTCAATAAATCTTTAACAAGTGTACTGTATTATTTCCAAGATTAATATCTAATAATAACAATTCAATGTATACCTGAATTCTATGCTTTGATTTTTAATATTGAATAAAATTTCATTTGAATCTGTTCCTTAAAATGGAGGATCATTACATAATAATATATAAAGAACAACTCCGCATGACCAAATATCACATTTTTAATCATAAGATTCCTCCATCACTTCAGGAGCTACAAAATGAATAGTACCACATTTTAGACTTAATTTTTCATATTATTAAATCATTCCAGAGAAACCCCAATCAATTAGTTTAATAGATGTAGTAACTTCATCATCAATTAAAATATTTTCAGGCTTGATATCTCTATGAACTATATTTTTCTTATGAGCAAAATTAATAGAGCCGATTAATTACTTCATAATTTTAAGGATTTCTGCTTCCTTAAGTGGGTAATGATCTTCAATATATTGAGATAAGGTTCCTCCTTCACAGAGTTCCGAAATAATATAAAATCTCTGATCATCCTCAAAACTATGATAAAGCTTCAATATATTAGGGTGATCTAATCTAAATTAAGAAATTGAAATACAGCTTAAGGTTTTGGAATTCTTTTCTAAAATTTTCATTTTTATCTTCATTGATTTTCTTTATGACTTTCATTGCTCGAATTTCATTATTTAATTTGCATCTAACTTTAATTACACAACCTTATCCCCCTGCTCCTATACATTATTTGTCTATAGGCTCATAAAGTTAATGATAAGGCCCTTCCATTTATTATATGAAATTAGAATAATCAATTCCAATTTTCTCATCTTATTCACTAAATGAATAGGGGATATTCGATTCTTATACACAAACTTTTTTATAAGGTTACATAAAATAATAATAAATATATTTTCATTATTTTCTATAATGTGATTTCACTTAAATAGCTATTATTAGATCATGATCTCCTTGTATTTAATTGTTTTGAATATTGTAATCAGCATGAGATTATTTTATAAGATTGGATTACAGCATTCTTATAATTTTATAAGAGCTAATTAATTTTAAACTATTGGTTTATTCATTTAAAAAAAAAAAGCAATTAAGTTTATTTATACAAATCGTGATTAAAGTTTTGGCTTATTTCTAACCATAACAAGATTAGAATCTATCCTAAAATTAGTCTTGAATCTATAAATCTTCATTTTTTAAACCTAAATAAATAGTTGAGCTTCAAAAGTTGTTGGTCAAACTGATTTTCATCTTAGTTGTAATTTGGATTGAAATATGTGAGCCATCTAGGCTAAACTATCTTTTCAAAAAGTTTTTCGCCTTTAAAATGTTTCTGAGTATTAATTTTAGGATTTTAAATTTTCTTTAGAAAAGAAATATCATTACTGATTCATTTAGATGTTAATGAGCTTAAATATAGTATATCAGATTTTCTTTTATGTCTTGTTTCAAACTTAAATATTAATAATTTTAATGGACTATTGCATAGAATAATTTATTTCATTTGTAAATGATAAACTAAATTATTAACATTACGATTAAGGTTTTTACAAATTGGAAATTTTAGGAAATATTTTTATGATAAAAAGGCTAATTGATAATTAATCCATAAATTATATAATAATTTCATCCATTTATCATTATCAAATATCCTTATATGATTATATATTTTCAATACAGATTTTTTTATATCTTCAATTATTTAGAATATGAAAAATAAACTGTTTGTTGTTAATTTACTAAGAATCCTTAAAAAAAAACCTTAGTATGAGTTCATTTTTTATTTTTGCATTAATAAGATAATTAGTTGATTTTATCTTATTGTATAGCAATTACTATTAGTTATGAAACTTTGGTTTCTTTTATTTTATATAGAATCATTAATTAATCTATAGTTGATTTTTGTAAATCCCTATTTGTTTTTAGTAATCATTTTATTTAAAAACTCATAAAATAAAATTTATATTAATGTTCATTGATAATAATAATCAGGATACAATCCATGTTACTTTTTAAATTTATCAGCTGAATTAAACACTGCACTTTCACTCTTGATACCTTATTAATCCTCTTTATGAGTTGGTGAAATAGCATGAATTTCAAATTATTTAGTTTATTCAATCAAATGAGTTTTAAAGTGTTCTTAAACTTCANTTTTATAAGATTGGATTACAGCATTCTTATAATTTTATAAGAGCTAATTAATTTTAAACTATTGGTTTATTCATTTAAAAAAAAAAAGCAATTAAGTTTATTTATACAAATCGTGATTAAAGTTTTGGCTTATTTCTAACCATAACAAGATTAGAATCTATCCTAAAATTAGTCTTGAATCTATAAATCTTCATTTTTTAAACCTAAATAAATAGTTGAGCTTCAAAAGTTGTTGGTCAAACTGATTTTCATCTTAGTTGTAATTTGGATTGAAATATGTGAGCCATCTAGGCTAAACTATCTTTTCAAAAAGTTTTTCGCCTTTAAAATGTTTCTGAGTATTAATTTTAGGATTTTAAATTTTCTTTAGAAAAGAAATATCATTACTGATTCATTTAGATGTTAATGAGCTTAAATATAGTATATCAGATTTTCTTTTATGTCTTGTTTCAAACTTAAATATTAATAATTTTAATGGACTATTGCATAGAATAATTTATTTCATTTGTAAATGATAAACTAAATTATTAACATTACGATTAAGGTTTTTACAAATTGGAAATTTTAGGAAATATTTTTATGATAAAAAGGCTAATTGATAATTAATCCATAAATTATATAATAATTTCATCCATTTATCATTATCAAATATCCTTATATGATTATATATTTTCAATACAGATTTTTTTATATCTTCAATTATTTAGAATATGAAAAATAAACTGTTTGTTGTTAATTTACTAAGAATCCTTAAAAAAAAACCTTAGTATGAGTTCATTTTTTATTTTTGCATTAATAAGATAATTAGTTGATTTTATCTTATTGTATAGCAATTACTATTAGTTATGAAACTTTGGTTTCTTTTATTTTATATAGAATCATTAATTAATCTATAGTTGATTTTTGTAAATCCCTATTTGTTTTTAGTAATCATTTTATTTAAAAACTCATAAAATAAAATTTATATTAATGTTCATTGATAATAATAATCAGGATACAATCCATGTTACTTTTTAAATTTATCAGCTGAATTAAACACTGCACTTTCACTCTTGATACCTTATTAATCCTCTTTATGAGTTGGTGAAATAGCATGAATTTCAAATTATTTAGTTTATTCAATCAAATGAGTTTTAAAGTGTTCTTAAACTTCAGTTAATTTAATTCCATCTAAAATATTCAATTATTAAGCTCTTCTATCAAATAATCTTTGATGTTTTTAGACTTCATTCCACATACGAGCTGATTCTTTGACTAATGAATAATCCTTCTCTAATAATTAGACCTTAACAGCATTCTTAAATTCTTCAAAGTCTTTTTCACTCATTTCACTAATTAACTTATTCAAATTTTCATTAATAAATGTTCTAATATTGAATTAAACTATTACCTAATTCTGTCTTAAACATAATTTGGACATTTTACATTACTTTATATCAAGAATGTGAATCCTGCTACTCCTCTTACATCACTCAACAATGAAAACACAGCATAACCTAATTATTCAGTTGTTCTTAATTAAGCAAAGAATGGAGTCTTCATTATAGTTTACAATATATCTAAACATTAATAAATATATATATAATACCATTAAAGAGTTAAGTTCTTAAATCAGGTTTTCCTATTTAATAATGAACAATAATTCCTGAATTAGTTTCTGTTGGTTCAGTCAAATCATAAGTGTAATTACAAATTTATTTTAAATTCAACATAACTGGTCTAATTTATAATACTTGTTCATATTTAAGTGTTTTTGCTTAAAATATTTGTTATGATTTTTCAACAATACCAATTGCATCTTATTTAATCAAATTACCCATAATTAACCATTCGAATCTACATCTTTTAAGAAAATTGTTAGAGAAATGAACTACATCATCAAAAGTGATATTAGTTAATTAATCTAATAATTCTTAAGTTTCAAATGATGAGCCTTCTCTTAACAAAACACTGATAAGTGAATGAACTTATTAATATGGTTGAGATCTCTTAAAGTTTTCTAATTCTTATGTTATTTTCACAAATGTAGATTCATATAAATCTTAATAATCCTCAGGTTTAAATGACAATATTTTTTAGAACATTCCTAAAACAAATCTTGAAATTGAATCACTAAATCCACTTATAGAAATTTCTAAACCATTTGCTGCTAATTATAAAGAGGCATCAATTTTAGCCATTTCTGCTAAATAATTAAATTCTCTAACATGATTCTTTAATAAAGCTTGCCAGATTTTTGCAATGGCTTCAGTTTTTGATAATTTACCATATCCAGTTTCTACTGTATTGATTCTAAGTTAAATAACTGTTTTTGGTACTTAAAATCTATCATCTTATTTAAACCATAAATCACTTTATTCATTTTACCAAATCAATTAAGGAAATTAAGGTAAATCATTTTGCTAAGGTAAAACATTTGTATGTTCAGGAATATAAATATTTTAAGGAGGTAAATTTAATTAAGGTGATATTGTTTCAGCTGCTTTATTAAATACTGTTTTTAATTCATCACAAAATTTAATTTAATTATATTCAGTTCCAAAATATTCCTCTTTATTACCTAATTAATTTGAAAATGTTTATGATGATAAGAACATCATCAATCTATCACCAGTTAATTAATTTGTAATCTATTTTATTAATTCTGGTTAATATTATTCCATTAAATAAGGTGATCTTAAAACATCTTCAATTGGATACAATTACATTCTTGATGCTAAAGTACAAACATAATTAAAAGGATCTCCTTTTTCTAAGAAATCAAATTCCAATTTTTTAATTGCTTAAATTTCTTTAAAAATCCACTCTTATGGTCCTTTTTATTTAAGTAATTCTATGTATTCTTGAACATATTAAATAACTTTTAAATATTATTATAAACCTTTTTTTGTTAATTTAATTCTAATTTACATTTCAGAAAATTATTTCATTGTATTAGATGGACCTGCTGATAATTCTTATGCTAAATCTTCTTTTATAAGAAGAGACAATAAAGAGTTTTCTCCTTCATGACCAATCAAATGGGATAAATATTTTCCTGGACAACTTCTATAATTAGGGTAAAGATAATCAATTATATAAATTAATTCTAAATAATCTTAATCCTTAATTGGAACATATTTTATTAATTATCCTAAATTTGTTTAATCAAATGGCATAATATTATATGAAGGAGGAATTAAATTTTTATTTTGAATTGCTTCGAAATAAGAATGTGCCCAACCTTCTAAAATTTCTATTGATTATGAACCATAAATGACTAATTTCATAACATTAGCTGAATAATATCTTTAATGAAATTCTTATAATCTTGCACGTGTATCATCGAATTACAAAGTCTTCAAATTACCAATCATAAACTTATTATATTAACTTCCAGGAAGGGAAGCATTGTGAAACAATTGAAATTTGCGCCAAAAATCATTTTATAGATTCATATTATATTCTGAATCAACTGCTTTCATTTCACGTTCTGTACATGAATCACTAAAAAGTGGACATATGAAGAATTAAGCAAATCTATCTAGAGCACCTTCTAAAGCTTAATTGGCAACTGAAAAAAAAAAATTAGTATTAAGTTCACTTGTGAAAGCATTGGTGGATCCAGCATTCTTAGAGATATATTATTAATATTCATTTTCATTTGGATATCTATAATATAAAAATCATATTCTTACTTATCTGTTCCCATAAATAACATATGTTCACAAAAATGAGCAAGACCCATTCTATCTACAGGATCTTCAAGAGATCCTACATCAACATTCAAAGCAGCTGCTGACTTTTCTGTCTCTGGATCTGATATCAAAAGACATAACAATGAATTGCTGAGAATTACAGATTTAAATGTTCGCTTATCTATTGTGCTTTTATGTATCATTTTAATTTATTTCGATTTTATATCACCATCAAATATTGCTTAATTTTCATCAGTCTTAATCAGTATTCATTAAAATCATTAAATTTTTGAGATTTAGTAATATATTTACTATCTTGAGTAATTATTACTATAGATGATTATGATTAGATTACTTAGAAATGTAAAAATTGATATCAAAATTCTATTATGATAAGTTATTATTTGAGTTTTTATTTAAATTTTTTTTTTAAATTCATATTTTATGAAGGGTGGAAAACAATCAAAGAATAAGACAATTTGGGATTAAGTTAAAAATGAAGAAAAAGACTTCTATTTTAACTTCCTTACCAAAAAATATAGAAATGTGTAAAAAAAATTGAAAGACATTGCTGATTTAGAAGAATTGTAAAAAACAAAAGAATTGAAAGCAGAATAAGTATAAAAGATTCAAAGCAAAGAAGAGAATAATGAAAGAATAAAAGAATTAGAAATCTAAGTCTCAAATTGGTTGTAAGCTAAGAAAGATGCAGAATAAAGTGGTTCTTTAATCACTTAAGAAGCTTTTATCTTAATATTGGAGCATTTAAGTGAAAATTAATAGACCGTAGAACTATTATGTGAAGATCATTAATCTTTATATGAATTGGCTAAATAGCTTCAAAATAGAGTAAACAATCAATAAAAGAAAAAGGATCAATAATGGAAGGGGTTGAAAGTATATATTAATAAATATTTTAATTAAAGTTAAATCACTAATTACAAACAGAAGTTCAAAATACAGAAACAACATAATAAACCTAATAGTAACAATAAGAGACAACTATATAGCCAGAGAAGGTTGAGATTGCTAAAGAATAGCCTGTAGTTTAATAATAGGAATAATATGTTTTAATGAAGTCTAGTCCAAAGAAATCATTCTAAGATGAAAATCGTTAATAAGTTCATTAAGCTTTAGATTAACTTCCAAATTAACATACAGAATATTAAGAATAATAATAACAAGATCCACCTTAATAAGAAATATCATAATAATAATAAAGTTAAGAAGGAAAAGAAGAATAACAACATGATTAAAAAGGTAATCATTAACATCCAAGAGATGGTAATAGATACCATAATCATCATCATGATGATCAAAAGAAAGGATACAAAAAAAATTATCATCATGATAGACGAAATAATAATAATGGAGATAATAACAAATAATACAGAGGAAATAAATATCAGAATAGAGATAGACCTTAGAGAGAAGAATGGCAAGAAAAAAAGGATGTTTAAGAACATGATTAAAATAATGAGAATTAAGATCATCATAGTTCAGATGAAGAATATATCACTATCGAACGTAGGTTAAGATATTTTTTATATTTCTAGATCTAAAAAAACTTAATAGAAACCTAGAGGATCTAATAGAAATCATTAAGATAATAAAAATAGATCATAAAGAAATTAAAATGATAATCAACAGACTGTTAATGCCTAATCATGAGATTATATTTTAAAATGTATAAAATAAAAAATATTCAACATAATTCTTCTTCCAACTTTCTTCTTTAATTAATTATCCATTCTATTACTTTCTTATAAATATTACAAAGTAATTATACTATCTCTTTTATCCTCTCATTAAAATCCTTAAAATACTATAAATTATCTTCCTACAAACCTTTCGAATCTTTTATTTAACTTTTGACTGCATCTTCACTCAATTTTAACTAATTTAATTATTATTATAATATTTATGCTACATTTAATTCAAATGATGATGCATTAATATATTATTATAATAATTTTAAAGCTAAATAAACTAATTACGATTATTATTGCATTTAAATATGACCTATTTCAACTAATTCTTCATTTAAAGCTACTTAATCGGATAATCTAATCTACTCTAACTCTTAAACTAATTCTTGATAAGTTCTCTCTTTTTAATCCAAAGAATTCTTTAAATTAATAATTGAAACCTCAAAAAGATTTCTTTCTGCTCCAAACTTATTTTTTAATGATTAATTTTCATTCATATGATGTTAAAGCATTATTTTATTATTTTGTTCTATCATTAATAATTGTTTACTCAACCTTAAAACTTCTTATTTTTAACTCATAATATTCTCCATTATAATTGTTTTTGCATCTTCAATATTTTATATCTCATTCTCATCATTTAAAAAAAATCTTACCAATTACTAAATAAACTGTTCAGAATTTTAATAAGATTGTCTTCTTTCTAATTCTTCACTTTAATCTTATATTATTTTTTTATAATTTTCAATCTATAACTAAAATTTAAGAATCTTATCTTATTAAGTATTGATTTATTCTTATAATTCTGAATAACTGTTACTAAACTTACTATGCTCACTTAGTAAATCTTCTTTAAATATAGATATTTCTCTTTATAATCTCTATTCAACCACTGTTTTGATATCTGTCAAACCTTTTTTAAATTCTTCTAATTAAATATTTTAATTTTTTTTAAATGAAAGCACTCTTTTTTTTTTCTAATCATCAAATTAATAAGATTGTTTTATATATTCAGATTATGTATTCAAAGGAATTTCTTCATTATTGGATCCTGAAAATTTAGATTTATTTTAATCTAACTCTTTTTATATTTCATCAATTTTACCTTCATAATAATTATTAAATTACATTATTAAACATTTTATATCATATTAAATTATTAAGTTATCTCACTACAAGATTCATTAAAATATTTACCATGTTCTATTGTTTTTGGGGATAAACATGCTTAATTGTTAATTTCTTCTTATACTTAAATAATATTCTCATTCATTTTTTAAAACATATCTTATTTGAAGCTATTATTAAAACTTTGATCATCTATATTTGATTATTTTGGAGTAAAATTAAATAATTTCTAACTTGAAGTTTAGTTACTTGTTTGTAATATCTCATTCATTTAATGTAGTATCATAATCACATCAGGATCTTAATATAATATCTAAACATACCTTGATTATATTTTTTCATAATTTCTACCCAAAATACAATTAATTCCTAAATTTATCTCATGCAACATGGAGAATTCTAAATCATTTTATTATATTGCTAATCTTATGACTCCTTTGATTTAATTGGTGTATGTTAATCAAAATTATTCTTACATTATAGTATTTTTGGTTACCTTTCTTATATAATCTTCTTTATAATTCTCAATATCCATTATTTTATAATTTATTTTTAATTAAAAAAAGATAATTCATAATTTTATGTAAATAATTTATCATTAATTTCTTCTTAAATTTATTTCTCTTATAAATTTATTATAAGTCTCTTTAGACATATCATATAAACTTTTAAGTTCTCTTTCTAAATTTGTGTAATATTTCTCAATATCATTTATATCTTTAAGTTTAAAATTTTTTTTTTCTTAATATATTTAATGAAATTTAATTAGTTTATCAATTAAATTTTATATTATAGCGCCATTTGAATTTTCAGACTTATAATATTATAAAAATATTAAAAGACCTAATTATATATAAAGTAAAGATTTGTCTTATAATTTATAACAGCCTTCAAGTTATACCTATATTACTTTATTTTTTTCATCTTCAAATTATTTTCTTAATATTTCTTTCTCTTTATTAATATATTTATTTATTTCATTCAAAGTCAATTCTATTTCTAAAATTTTATTTGTCTTTTCGTTAATTTAATCTTATTAATTTAATTAATTTTCTTATTTCTGTTACAGTTATTCAATCTTCTAACTTAAAAATTTTGAATACTCATTATTTTTTAATTAATTTTATAGCTCTAAAATTTCATTCTATAAATATTCAATTGTTTATTCTGCTTCCATCAATTTTTTATTTTATTCTTTTATGTATTTATCATTTTCTCCTGTGATACTATTATGTATCTGTTTAATTTATTAAGCTAATTAATCTAAACTATTATGTTCTAGTTTCTATGTTGTTTAGTTAGTTTTTTAGGATGTTTCTGATAATAAATGATTTATTTGTTATATCTTTTAAAGAACATTCTAATCATTAAAGGAGCGCAAATTTAATTCACATATTATCTGTTATTTTTCATTTATCTCTTATAAATACTTATCCTTTAAGTTTAATAGTTCCTACAAAGCTTAAGATTATTTTCCAATTATAGTTTGAACAGTTTTAATTAAACTTTGAAATTTTTTTTCCAAAAATTTATTTATATTTTTCTTCAAACTCTCCACATCTTAATTTTATTTTAAAACATAATTCTTGATTTCATTTTAATATTCTTCTATAAGTTACTTGATATTAGTGTTTTCCCTTGCAAAAGATTCAATCAATTAGTATAATTCTACTTCATCTTCCATTTTTTATTATTATTCTTAATTGACTAAGTGCGCTTCATGATATTTTTAAATCTAAACTTCATATTCCTAATTAATAATGTTCAAAATGTTTTTAAAATTATTCTCAATATAATTCTTAATATTTTCTTTATATTGGTTGTTATAAGATTGATATTCAGTAATCCATTTTAAAATCCCTTTAATTTTTTCCATCATTGCTTTCTTCAATTATTCATTTATACTAAAATTTATATAAAAATACTTATACTTTAAAGGCTCTTCTTAACTCATAATTTATTGTTTATTTTTTTTATTATTATTAATGCATTTAAAATTAATCTGAACATTCTGTCCCTCTCTAAAATTCAAATTATTTGTCTTCCTTTAATATCTATTAAAAATAAAATACAAAAAGAGTGCAAGATAGTTTAATTGAAGACAACTATTTATTTTTTCATATCACAAACATAATTAATATTTGTTAAAAAATTGCCTAAACAAGAGATTAACATCCTTCAATTATAATATGATTCTTGAGAAACTAAACCATTGCTAATATCTTTTTAAAACTTTTTTTTCTTTCTTATAAATTGTCAATAATTATGAATCAAATTCTTTAATTTTGTTTCTATTTAATTTTTACTTTAAGGTTACAATTTTAAATCCACACATAGTTTTGTTAATTCCAAACAAAGTGTTTTGCAAAATTCAACACATTAAAGCAAATCTCTCTTTTACTTTAATTTTTAGTATTTAACCAAGAAACTTGTTTTTCGAGCTCCACTCTTAATAATTAATTTACTCTAAAATTATGGATTAATTAGAATCTAGTTTTAATCTAAATTTTCATTTAATTTAGTTATCCAATTATAAATCTATTTTAAAATATGTTTAGATTATACTTAAAAAAAGTTTCCAAAACTCAATATAAAAATATCTCCAAAATAATAAATACAAACGGATATATAGAGAAAGAATATTTGAAAGCAATTAAAAAAATATCAATTTATTAGATGGGGAATTATACTTTGTAGAATCTACTTATGTGTAGGCTTACTATATCAACATATAATTATATTTTAAAAATCTAAATACCTTATTATAATAAATTTTTAGTTCATACTTGATAATACAATTTATTTTTTTTGTAGTTGATATATTTAATTTCTTAATTTTAATAGTTATAGATTTTTCTGTTTAATTAAGAAAATTTTTATCATTTTGTAATTGTCTTCAATTAATCATAATCTTATTAATTTTAAATAAACATAAACAAACCTTTAGATAATGGAAAAATGATTGTTCTCAATTAAATTCGTTAATTTAAAAAAATTTCTTAGAACTCAAATTTGATTAATAATGAAAATTCAGATATTTCAAACGCTGATTAAGCTGATTTATTTATAAAATATTTAAATTTACTGAATTTTGTCATTTATTATATGTATTTTTAAATATTAAACTTTATTATACATGATCACTTTAATTTTATTTTGCCTATTGCCATCAAGTTTCAGTTAAACAAAAAATTAACGATACTTTGAAGTAATAGCCTTACAAATTTTTAACACCAAAGATATCGTTCCAAAAAATTTATCTGAAAAATAAAAGATTACCATTACTCTTGCCTATGAAGAAGGAGAAATTCCAATTTTAGTTATTTGTAATAAATAACCGCAAATTAATGATATGATTAGTTATGAAACAATTTAAAAGTAAGAATATATTCCAATTTTAGAGAAAATTGCATAAGTGATATAAATGCTTATGATTAGAAATTTTAAAATCAATCCATTTCATTAATAAAGAATTAAAAATCCTAAGCATTTCAAAAAAATTTTAATATATATTAATTCTAAAGCTCGAATATGTTTGTAGGTGCATACTCTAAACTCTAGTCAACATATTCTATATTTGTTTATATTTAATCATTATATAATTGTGCAAAGTATTTATTAATTTTAAAATTAGAGAATGTCAAAATGGTGGAAGTTGTTTTTATGGATTATGTGAGTGTATAGAAGGAACTTTTGGTGATGATTGTAGTATATCTGGATTAAATATCAAAGATCAATTAAAGTTATCACCAGATAAATTATATTATTTGAGCTTATATTCAGCAGGATCGACATTTTAGAGAATTCTCTCTAATTAAATANATATTTTAAAAATCTAAATACCTTATTATAATAAATTTTTAGTTCATACTTGATAATACAATTTATTTTTTTTGTAGTTGATATATTTAATTTCTTAATTTTAATAGTTATAGATTTTTCTGTTTAATTAAGAAAATTTTTATCATTTTGTAATTGTCTTCAATTAATCATAATCTTATTAATTTTAAATAAACATAAACAAACCTTTAGATAATGGAAAAATGATTGTTCTCAATTAAATTCGTTAATTTAAAAAAATTTCTTAGAACTCAAATTTGATTAATAATGAAAATTCAGATATTTCAAACGCTGATTAAGCTGATTTATTTATAAAATATTTAAATTTACTGAATTTTGTCATTTATTATATGTATTTTTAAATATTAAACTTTATTATACATGATCACTTTAATTTTATTTTGCCTATTGCCATCAAGTTTCAGTTAAACAAAAAATTAACGATACTTTGAAGTAATAGCCTTACAAATTTTTAACACCAAAGATATCGTTCCAAAAAATTTATCTGAAAAATAAAAGATTACCATTACTCTTGCCTATGAAGAAGGAGAAATTCCAATTTTAGTTATTTGTAATAAATAACCGCAAATTAATGATATGATTAGTTATGAAACAATTTAAAAGTAAGAATATATTCCAATTTTAGAGAAAATTGCATAAGTGATATAAATGCTTATGATTAGAAATTTTAAAATCAATCCATTTCATTAATAAAGAATTAAAAATCCTAAGCATTTCAAAAAAATTTTAATATATATTAATTCTAAAGCTCGAATATGTTTGTAGGTGCATACTCTAAACTCTAGTCAACATATTCTATATTTGTTTATATTTAATCATTATATAATTGTGCAAAGTATTTATTAATTTTAAAATTAGAGAATGTCAAAATGGTGGAAGTTGTTTTTATGGATTATGTGAGTGTATAGAAGGAACTTTTGGTGATGATTGTAGTATATCTGGATTAAATATCAAAGATCAATTAAAGTTATCACCAGATAAATTATATTATTTGAGCTTATATTCAGCAGGATCGACATTTTAGAGAATTCTCTCTAATTAAATACCTCTAAGATAGTAATGTTATGCAGAGATACCTTTTATTGATTAAGGTTCACTTTTGATAACAAATGTACTGTAATTAACTTATGATAAAATTTAATATTGTAAAAATATGACTGAGACATTATAAGAGGAAATTAAAATTAAATAAAATGCTTACATAATTTTTAAAGTGTATAGCTAATTTGATGTCAATATTCTTCTTAACAATAATGATAATGATAGTTTATAAAGAATAATGATGATGATTTTTATTCCACTTTGTGTGATATTGTTTTTTTTTTTAATTTGTTGTTGTGTTAAATTTTACAGATAAAAACTAGAATAAGCATAAATTCATAAGAAAATAGAATAAACTGAAGCAGGAAATTATGTGAATCAATATATGCCAACAATTAAATTTTCATAAGTTAAAGATATAATTTAAGAAGATATAAATGAGAAAGATGTTTATTGTTCAATTTGTTTAGAGTAATTTGATAGATAGAATGATGTAAAAGTGACTTATTGCAAACACATTTACCATTCACAATGTTTGTCAATGTGGTTATTTAAGATTAAAGTATAGTTAATAATAACTATTTAGATCTGCCCTTTATGCAGAGCACCATTAGACGAAAAAACTTTAACATCCTTAATGCATTAAAGATCTTAGACTTTAATAGATCAAATATCTAGTAAATCATCTGCCAATAATAAATTGAAGATAACTTCATTGAATTCATTGTCTAGTTTAAATGGACCGATTAATTAAAATGCATTTTAACATTTAAATTATTAAAGAAGCTTAGTTTTGGTAGAATAATGAAATAGAATTTTCAAGAGTTTAATAATTTATTAAATATTTTATTTTAAGCTTTTTTTAATAACTAAATATTTATGTACACTTATTTTAGATTGTATAAATAATATTATATTAAAACAAGTTATAAAAAGAATTCATATTAAATGAAGTCCCACTTCAGCGATATATTATTAAGAATAACGATCTACATTATATTTTAAATCTTTGACTATTTAATTTAGAACCAATGAGTTTTCAATCTAAAATTAATAAATTTAAGCAAAAGACTCTTTAGCTATTGGAAATGGATTGGATTGAAAATGTTGTTGTTTAATTTATTATTTTCTATTTCTGAATTCTATTTCTTGTTGTTGTTCATACTATAATTATTTAGATTAATTATTCATAAAGACTAGAAAATCTAATGGTGGAGTTTGTTTATTTAATAAATATTACGTTATTTAAGATAATTAATTAGTGAAATGTTTAGTGTCTTAAATTTTTTGTTTAATTTCAATCATTTTAGAATGAACTAAATCAAATTATTCTTGTAATTCAAATAGCCATTTATTTAGTTCTTACAATTTAGATTTAAGTTCATTATTTTCTATAATAATTTATTGTAGGTTTTCTTCTAAATCTAAACTTTTTGTTTTATACTATTTATATGCATTTAATTCATTTTATAATTGAATTATTTACTGTTATAATGTTTATTCAGATATCTGATATTGTCTTTTATTATTTTCTATTTCTCTTGACATTTAGGATATTAATAATTGATGTTATTATGAGATGATTTCTTTTTCCCTTTTTAATTAATTAATAATTGAAGAATTTATAGGTGAGTTATCTGTATTGTCAGTAATGTTCATCTATGAATGTTGGATCTATTGTACATAATCTTAAATGTGAGTATTTTGAATATCCTCTGATTGATAAACCTAAAAAGCTTATGAATCAATATATTAAGATGTAGCTACAGATTTTGGAACAAAAAAACTTTGTTTCGTTGATTTTCTAGTTGGAACACAGCTGAAATAACTTTTATCTATACTACTACTTTTATTATTAGATTTAGCAAACAATTGAGACTAAGTTCAATATATATAAATACTAATTATTGAGAATCACGAACTTAAGGAGTCTGAGGATATCTAATCATCATTTTATTTTAATGTTGCTCAATTTTTAGGTTATTCTTGTAAATAAGAGCTTTGAGTTGATCATCAGACATTGAATTAAAATATATTAAATTTTAATCATTTGTAAATAATTTAGTGATATTTTATAGTTCAGAAAAAGAGAATAAGACCAGATTATTAAAAATTTATATCACTCATTAATTTAATTTATTTATCTTATTTAACATAATAGATAATAAGCATAGTCTATTCTAATAAAAACAAAACAATATACGATTTAATTGAATTTATTTAATCAATTTATATGTCTTCCTAATTAAAGGCCTATAATTCGTAAGAATAAGTTAGAATGTAACTAAATTTATTGAATAAATACTTTTAGATCAAAAAATAGATTATATAACATTTAAGAACAATTAAAACAAGAGGTGATCTCCGATGTAACAAAAATAAGTTAAATTTATGAACATTTAAACGACTTTTGAATTAATAAAAATAAGCCAAATTATAAATTGATAATTAAATCAATAAAACTCGATCAACCCATTATTAAACTATGTAACTAAAATTTAATAAATAGTAAGACTCTTGTCAAAATATTGAAAATCCTAAAGAATAAGTAGAAAATCTAATAAAATCATAATTGATAAATACTATTATAAGAGGTTAAGTAAGATTTAATTTATAAATTTTAAAAATAAAAAAATAATAAAATTAAAGTCTTATAAAAAAATAAAATGGAAAAATTTTGATGAGAATAAGACCTAAATAAATATTAATAACATATCAAAAAAGTTCTCAGTTTCAAACACTTATAAATTACAATAATTGTTATTAGAATTATAAACAATCATAGATTGAAAAAGGTGAAGATTTTAAAATTTTTACTGATTATTAATCTCGATAAGTAGAGTTACAAGAATTAAATGGGATTTTTAATCTGATGATATAAAAAGCAATCTATTAATATTGATAGTCTGTAAAATAATAAAATTTAGAAATCAATTTATTAAATTTAATTAAGATTACAAGGATGATAATAGGTTATCCATATATATAAATGAATAATATATTGTTTTAATTCATTTTGGGGGGCTTACTGGTTGACGATAAATACGATTATATTGTTCTTTTGGTAAAGTATGATAATCTAAAATTTATTTCTTAATTAATGATGTATTTAAATTTTATGACACATAAGATGCATCAATAGATGACAATTAAATTGAGTTATTTGCTTTTTATTTTTTCTTTTGAAATTCGTTATCATTTCGCTTTTTTATTTTTTCTTCTTTTTCAACTTAAATAATCCTAATAGAATAACTGTATTTAAATACTCTTTTTTTTCTTTTACAACTAATAGAGCCCTTTGGGTTTCTAATTCTATTTTTTATTTTTCTTATTTTTTTTATTCTGCTAATTCTTTTTTTACTTATTCCATCTCTAATTCCCTTTACTTTTTCTTTAAGTAATTCTCTTTTTAAATAAGTAAAAGTCTTTCATCTTCGATTGGCTTTAACACATTTGAACCCTTTTGGTTCTTAATGAGGAGTTATCTTTTTGTTTTTTTTATATTATTTTAAGGATCATCAACAATTTTATCTTTCTTTAACTCTTCTGGTAAAAACCTTGTATCTGGAGGAGGATTAGCAGGTTAAAGTTTTTACATTCTATCAACTAATTTTTACATCCTTGTAAAATCGTACATTTTGTATATTTAATATATTTTATTTATTAATCTAATATTACAAATAAAATTATAAATATAAACCAAAATAATTCTAACAAAATAAAATTTTCGAAATTAAAAAAGACTTCTTCACCTGATGAATTTGTAAAATACAAAGAATTTTTTATAATATAATTGATTAATATATTAATCGAATATGGCATCAGCTACGAAAGTGAAGAGAATTAAAAGATAAAAGAAAGAAGAATAAATATAAAGCAAATCATTAGGAAACTTTCAGAATTTAGAATTATTATGTAAAACTGATGATAGATAAAAAAAAACACTGTAGAAAATAATCAAATAAAAACCTGATCTTGCAAAAAGCTTAAATATTTATGCTGATGGAGTTAGATACTATATAGCACGTTAGTAATAGAGAGATAAATTACTAGCTGGAAAAGAAACTCCTTTAGTAGATGTTACAGAGGAGTAACTATAAATACAAGTTTTACCCTCTATCACAAATCGTTAAATAGCAAGATAATTTAAACAAGACCCATTAAATCCAAGAAAACTATCAGAAAGCTTAGAAAAAACAAATAAAAAATATAATAATAGTCATAATTACACTCCTTTTGCAAAAAGATAAAGGGTTAGCATTTTATCTTAAAATCCTCCTTTAAAAGTAAACAGAGAAAAAGAATTACCAAAATTAAAAGTAAAGAAATAAAATCTTACTTAGTTTAATTATTATATAGGTCCTGGAAATAACGGAGAATTAGTTAAACGTATTTTATAAAGAAGAGAATAATATTGGAGTGCTGTACCATAACAATTTTAATATAAACATTTTATTTGGTAATAATCCTACTTTGGGATGGATTTTAATAGACTCTAAGCTTCAGATAGTTTATTCACAAGAGTTATGTTTAACTTTTTTGAATTTCACAAAAATATCACTTCTAAATCGGGTATTTAAAAAGATTAATTGAATAGGTTTATCAATATCTTTATTATAATACTATAACAATATAGAGAGAACATTTGATGTTATTCCATTAGTCTTCATTATTAATTTTAAGAGTTCAGATTGGATGAAAGATGTGCAATAATTTACTGAATTTTATTGTAACAATAATCCTCTACCTTAAACCTCTTTAAAAACTAAATTAGATTTTGACTTTTATGTATCAAATCTTGCTCCAAATAAAATAAATTATAATGGGATAAAAACTTATAAAATGGCAGAGACATTGACAAATAAGAATCAATATTTATGGCTTCTAAAACCTTCTGATTGGAACAGAGGAGAAGGAGTTCATGTATTTAATACATTAGAAGAAGTTGAAGGTTTAATAAAATCATATTATAATGGGAAAGGCAATTATGAATGTAAGGAATTTGTGATTTAGAAATATATTGAAAGACCTTTATTATTGGGAGGTAGAAAGTTTGACATAAGATGTTGGGTATTGATAAATCATGATATGCAATTTTTTTTATTTAAAGAGGCATATATCCGAACAAGTGGAGCAATATTTAGTTTAGAGAATGTATATTTATATTAAATTATTATGATAGAAAGATAGATACATTCATTTGACAAATAATGCAGTGTAAAAAAATGCTTAGAATTATGGATAATTTGAAGATGGGAATTAATTATCATTAAAAAGATTTTAACAGTAATTGGAGTAAGATATATTTATGATAATTTAGTTAATAAGAAAAAAAGTATGATTTTCGAAAGTAGGGATGGCCAAAAATAAAAGAGATAGTGAAATTAACATTGAATTCGACTAGATTGAATAAAAGGAATAGAAAGTATGGGATGCAAATATTGGGATACGATTTTATGATAGATGAAAACTTAAAATTGTGGTTAATTGAAGTTAATGCAAATCCATGTATAGAAGAGAGTTCGAATTTATTAAAGATGTTGATACCTAGAATGTTGGATGATGCTTTTAAGCTGACGATAGATAAAATATTTACTCCAGAAATTGATTTTGGAATTCAATAGTAAAAGTTAAAGGTAGATGATTATGATGATTCTGAAAATATGTGGGAGTTATTAGGTATGTGTTGATGAATAAATTAACTTAAATAAGTATATATATAGAATTATAAAATATATAAAGATTTAAATAAATATTTAAATTTAATATGGATTAATAAACAGAGTAAGACAAACTTGAATCAATAGCAACACCAGGAGTATTAGATAAATATTAAAATGCGGGTAAAATTGTAAATGGTAAATAAAAATTTTGATAATTAATTAGTTGTATTGGAAAAAGTGATTACCAAATTACAGCCAGAAGGTGATGTTGCTTCAATTTGTGCTTTTGGTGACTCAGAAATTAGTGGAGAACTATAAAAGGTTTACAATAAGAAAGGAATAGAAAAAGGCTTAGCATTTCCAACAACAATCTCTGTAAATTAAATTTGCGGTCATTATTCTCCATTAAAGAGTGAAAGTAGTAAATTAGTAAAGGGTGATGTAGCTAAAATGTAAATGTTAAAAATAATATGATAGTGAATTAGGAGTTCATATTGATGGATATATAGCTATTGCAGCACACACAGTAGTTGTTGGAGAAGATAAAGTTGAAAACTAAAAGGCAGATGTGATATTGGCAGCCTATTAATCAGTCTAAGCTTTATATAGATCAATTAAGCCAGGAGTCACTAATACAGCTTTAACTAAAATTATATAACAAATTGCAGATGATCATAAATGTACACCATTAGAAGGTGTTCTTAGTCATGAAGTCAAGAGACATTTTATTGATGGAAATAAAGTCATAATTAATAGAGAAACTTAAGAATAAAGAGTTGATGAAGAAGAAATCTAAGTCAATGATGTTATTGTTTTAGATGTTTACATTACTACTGGTGATGGAAAGACTAAAGAAGTATTCATTATTTAATAAAAATTAGTCTGAATTAAGAACTACTGTTTACAAGAGAGCTTTGGATAGATAATACTAATTGAAGACTAAACATGGAAGAGCTTTCATGTAAGAGGTCTATGATAAATATCCATCTTTATGTTTCTCATTAAGAGCATTTGAAGATGAAATTACTGCTAAATTGGCTGTTTAAGAATGTGCTAAACATGAATTATTAAATCCATATCCAGTTCTTATCAGTCCAAATAGTATTGTCGCACAATTCACTTTCACTGTTGCAGTCTTAGCTAATAGCACTCTTTAAATTTCAGGTCTCAAATTAGATGAAACCAAATTCAAACCTGCTCATGATCTTAATGATGCAGCACTCAAAGAATTATTGAAAGTATTTTATAATTTCTATTTTAAGTTACCTATGGATAAAGAATCACAAAAAAAAAGACATTTAGAGTAAAAACAAAAAGCTTGATAATATATATCAATTTGAGTAACACAGGTATATTAGTAATCTGTTTTTTTATTTCAATTATATGTTCAAAATCCTATTTCTTCATTTACCTTCTATAACATTTCATGATTGTAATTACAATAAAAGTCGTATTAGTATATCAAATGTGGTATTGAGGGTTTATATTGTTAAGGCACAACTTTAATTAAATCTTATAGCATTTTAGCGTTCTCCTTTATTGAACAACATAAAATCTTTGCATTCTCTTTTCTGATATAATTTATTGTTTAAGCATATTTAGTCCATACCTCCTCTGTTATAAATGGAGGATCTATTAATATTATATCGAAACTATTTTTGAATAATTCTAAACCTTCTAATGGTTTATTGAAATCATAAAACACAAATCCTTTCTCTTTATTTAGTTTTAAATCAAATTCAAATAATGAAGAGTTTTGTTTAACTTCTTAATTCTTCAAACTACAATAAATTGATGGTGTTGATAGGAATGCTATTTTCTATCCATTCTCATAAATTGATTCAATATGATCAACCAAAAATTCAATTGTTTATTCTGAAAACCAATATTAGTTTAATGAACTATCTTCTGGTTTCTTAGCAAGAAATATATTTTTTTTTTTCATCTTTTAATTTATATTATTAATAAAACACAAAAAAAGTATTAATTATCAAGAATTCAAAATTTCATTATTACTAATCGTCATTTACAACAATTTAATTATTTTCATCTTCAATATCTTCATCAACTTACTCAACTTATTCTTAAACATTCTAATCCTACTATTAATTATCATTATTTTCTTCATCTTTTTACTCATCTTCTAAATTTTCAAAATTTTATATTTCCCGCATTTCATTATCTTCTAATCCTTAATCTTAAAAATTCTCTTATTACATCACATTTTCTTAAGAGGTTTGTAATATTTTAATATCTAATCATATAAATTTATTTTCATACTTTCAAGAGTTTCAGCTATTTCTTAAAAATCAATTGCTTTTAAAGTCATTATAATATCTTCTTTTGTTACTTAGACTCTCTTTTTCTCATTTTTTTTCTTTCTGTTTTCTTCTTTCATTAATGATATCCTTTAATTATTCATTTTAATACATATGACTCAAATAAAATACAAAAAGAGTTAAACATCTATTAAATTTATCTCTAAAAGCTTTTTGTGCTATTATATTGTCATTCATGATTTTTTTAATGAATTCTGCAATTTATTTTTATTAAAATTAAGGGAAATTAGAAACATCATCATCATCTTCAACTGCTTATAAATTATCTAAAATTTCTTCATTCATTAGAATAAAAAATTAAATAAAATAAATTAGATTATTCAATAATTAATATTATTAAGTTGCTATTTGATTGGCTCACTTTTTTAAGTAAAGTTATCAAGATCATATCCATTAAATTAAGCTTGATATGAATTTATAAATACATTAGATGGAATTTCTTCTAAGCATTAATATATTTTATTAAATTAATTCTCCATTTTCTTCATTTTCTATGGAAATTTATCTTGCATCAAAATTATCTTCAGATTACTATAATATATAAATTATAAATAAATTACATTTGGAATAAAAGGAGCTTTTAATTCTTTATTATATAATTTTTACCAAGGGAAATTTTTGAACCAAGAATGCTGTCTTAATTCTTAAGCTCCATTAAATCCTAGACGATTAGAAGGTTTTCTTTAAATTAACTATATATTCATATTATTTATACTCTGTTAATGAAATCAGCAGACTCTAATGACCAACTTTCTGGTATTTCTGATCTTTTAATTTGAATTTATTTAGCTAAAATTTAATCTCTAATTTCTTTTCTTGATCTTCCTGTATATGGTCTCTAATAAAAATAAATATATAGCTATATACTTTCCCTAACATAAATTCATATCCAATAACTCCAAGTGCAAAGTAATCGACTGAAAATGAATGATTTTATCGACACATCACTTCAGGTGCCATATATCCTGGAGTACCACTTGTATCTTAAGCATTTTCAGGTCTTAATACTCTAGCTATACCCAAATCAGTTATTCTTATATAACCTATTATTGTAACATGATATACCATTTTTATCAAGTACCAAATTTTCTGGTTTTATGTCTCTATGTAGTACATTTTAAGAATGCATATATTCTAAACCCAAAAATATACATGCCATAAAAAATCCTCTTTTTTACATCAAAATATATACTTGTTTAATCTTCACTAAATCTACGCATTCTTCCTATATGATATCTTAAATCACCTCCTTACATATAATCCAAAATCAAAAATAGATTTTCTCTATCTTGAAATGCATAATAGATATTAACCAAATATCTATTATTAATTTTATAATTATTACGGATGTTTAAGACTACTCAAAATATTCTTTTCGTTCATTACTGAATTAACACTTTTTTTTGCAATTATTCTTATATATAAATAATCATTATACAATGCTTTTGACATCTCTTTCAAAGCATAAATCTAACTGCTCTTTTTTTATTCTACCTTCCAAACTTTACCAAATCCACCAACACCAATAACATATAGAAAATTAAACATATTTCTTTAAATTTGAAGATCGTTTGTAAAATAGTTATTTTATTAGAAAGATGATTTTTATTATTGATGTTAAATGATTTGCTTATCTTATTCCTCATCTTCTTTTTTAAGCATCAAATAATTTAGAAATGATATCTATTATGTTTATTTTGGTTTAGATAATGAAGTCTTTTTAGAATGATTTGCTGATGTTGATTAACTTGATTAAACTGAAAATTTCTACTTTCCATGAATTAATGGAGAGGGAGAATGATCATTTTAATCAATCCTACTACTACAATTAATATTTTAAAAAAATACCGATCATTATGAATCATTTATGTTCCTTATATCCCTTAATTTATTGAAGATTTATCTACTCTTTAAACTTAATATGAATCCTATCTAGAATGAGGAATTCTATAATTCAAACCATACATAACAATTATTTAATTTATATTTGATTGTAAAAATTTATAATAATTACAAAATAATTAATTCATTATTCATATATTTAGCTTATTATTATAATAGCTTATTATTATAATTATGAATTAAGAACTTGAAGAAACTTCTTAAAACATTTAAAATAAAAATTCTAAAGAAGAAGATGAAAAGAAGTTCAAATTACTCAAACAACATTTTAGAGGTTAATTCAAAGAATCCTATAAGTATATAGGTAAACTATATTATTAATATATTATTAGGATTTAATTTACTTTTCAGTTTTGGAAAGTATTTAGTGTGTTTTTATAGTTTGTAACAACGTGATTAATAATGTGATGTAAATCCATTATTTGTTTGGTTGACAATTGTTGGAATGTATGAATTTTTTAATTCAATAAGGTAATTTATTAACATATATATTCCAGATATTTAGCTGTTCTTTATTCATTATAAATGAATTCTAAAGATATCTTCTAGTTAGTCATGGCGGAAATGTTAACAAAAGATTCTAATGAAATAATGAATCTATAAGGTATGGAAGAAAAAAATAAGTAAAAAAATAATTCTAAATTAAAACTTTAAGACGAAACTAAATTAAAACTCTAATCAAAATGAAATTATCAACAAGAGACATAAGATAAGAAGAATTAATAGCTGAACCTCCATTTACTCAATATGAAATTATACATTAAGCAGAAGCTTTGAATAAATATACTCGTCTAATGAAAGTCTATAATTAATTCATTTTCTACCTTATCTTTACGGGAGGCAACATCGCATATTTTTAATCAGATTCTAATGATTGTGATGATAGTAATTTTTTATTTAATTTTATATTAGGTTTAAACAATGTGACATTTGTACTTTTGTTAATAGGATACTTGTTTTCAGCATTTTTAATTATTGGATTTGGTCTAGCAATCATATCAATGGCATTATATATGCCTATTATCCTCTTTTTGTTTATATTTAAATCTATAGGGAAAATTGTTAAGAGACTTCAAACTAAAGTAAGAATTATAAATTAATTTTAAGAATAAGTTTAAAAAGATGAAGAAGTTTGAATACAATAATATCCCTGAATTCTCCTACATATAATAATGCAATATTTGTATGTGTGATTATGTAAAAAATGACTTAGTTGTTTAATTACCATGCAGTATTAAGTAATATGACAATTTAGCATAATAGGCATCATTTTCATGATCATTGTCTTCAATAATGGATCATTATTAAATAGTAATGTCCTGTTTGTCGTAAATTAATTTGAAAATATATTTACACATCTATATAATTTAAACTATAAAATAAAGAAGTTTCATATTATTCATTTCCAAACAACTATGGTGATTTATCCCTTTATTGCTTATAAATAATATCCTTCTTCATGTGTTACAAAAATTCCAAAATTTTTTCCAACCACACAATGCCAAGGACCTGTATGTCTTTTATCCAATCTAAAATTTTGTTCAAATAATTACTCTCTTTTTATGTAATATGCAATATCTCTTTCATTACTGTGCTTTTTAAGATTATCAAGAATTATATTTTAAGCATCTTTTAATAATTCACTTGACATGTCACATAATTTCACATTTATTTCTTTACTTATGTCGGTCATCTAAATCTAATAATTTATATTAATTTATATTATAATAACAAATTATATTAATTATTAACTGCCATATGAAACCTAATGACCTTCTACAAGAATTTACTGATTTTAGGAGAAAACTAAAAGCTGATATTTAAAAAAATGAATTTTCTAAAAGTCCATCAAAAAATTATACAAAAACACAAAGTTCACCTTAAAAGGCGAATTCTGGTTTCAAATAAAAAATTAATTTCTCAAAACATAGAAGTCAATTATAAGAGAGATGCAATACAATTTCATCTAATTAAAATTAACCCTATTATTCATAGATTTATAATCCTTAATTCTAATGTATAACACATGAAAAATTAAACTCTTAGTAGCAAACTATACATTCAATCAAACCAAAGATTTTATCAAACAAAAAAAAATAAAACATAACTGATAGAATATTAAGTTACACATAATTAAATAATTTTTGCTTTACTCTTTAATAGATTTAGGATGAAGATATACGATAATTACCAAATGAGTATAAACAACTACTAACATAATTAGCTTAATTAATATAAGAAAAAGTTGGAGTTAATGATTTCTGATTTAATTTAAGTTACCTAACACTTATTTGACCATATATTTATATAAACTTGAATATAAAGATAAAATAAATTAATTGGTCAAAAATATTGCTCATTCATTTTATTTTAGATTTACTGATTACTAGAAATGCTGATTTAAGAAGATGCTACTATTTTGTTAATATCATAAAAAGGTTGCTATATAAGAATATTATTTATATTCTCCTTATTTTCTTCTTCCATTTCTATAGATGTTTTTGTGAAATCCTTATTTTGTGAATAGTGATTTTCTAAAAACCTTTATTAATAACATCTCTCCATCGATTCTTATTATATTGATCTGGAATCTAAACTTAGTTCATCAATTAGAGGAAATCTAAATTTTATTTTCTAATTCTTAAAAGAAAATGTTGCACTCTTGTTTTAAGGTGTGTTTTAGGATTGTTAATTAGATCCCTAACGAACCTATTTTAATCTTTCTTTAGCACATGTAAAAGAGGATTATTTTTAGAATCTATTAAACTCTAATTCCATTTAATTTGAAGTCATTTATTATAAAAATATTAATTAAAATTTATATAGATCGAAGTAAATATTAAAACAAAATTACTATTGAGAAATTATAAATAACTTATATATTTAAATATTTAAATACTAATTCTTTTTTTAAAATCTTAAACTTAATTACAAATGAGTTTATTATGTATTCTGATCAAATTTCTAAAATTGAATAAAATATATAATCAATTTATAGTTTTAGAGAAGAGAGCCAAATGAAATAGATCAAGAAAATATTGAATTTTATTATTGAATTCATATTTTCAATAATAATAAAAATGTAATCTTAAGAAAATTGGTTAGATAATTCAATAGAACCATTTTAAAAGTTTGAATAAGTAAAATATAGATTAATTTATAGGCACATTCTAATTCTATTGAATGTTTGTAATTTAATCCTTAGAATCAATCTGAATTAGCAACAGGTTCTCATGATAAATTAATAAAATTATGGGATGTAACTAAATAAAAAGAATCTTCTAAATTTACAGGACATAAGTATTGTTAATTAATATTTGATTAGAGAAGGGATTTGGTCAATTAGCTATTCACTTGATGGAAAATAAATTTTTAGCGGATCTCCTGATAAATCAATTTTAGTTTGGGATGCAAAAAGTGGAAAGACTGTATAAGCTTTAAAAGAACATAAAAATAGAGTATGATATCGATTAATTAATTAGATATATTGGATTCAAGTGAGTGATAATGGATTATATTTAGCTAGTGGAGGATAAGATGGTCATTTAATTCTTTGGGATTTAAGAAAATTGAAACTTATTAAAGATCTTTAAAGTAAATAAATAATGATAACCTTTAGTTTCAATGGATATAGTTTACAACATTAATTTTAGTTAATAAAGCAAATACTTTTTTACTGGAGATTCTATGGGAGTTATAAAAGCTTATGATAGTTAAAAAATAGAAGAGATTTCAAATACAAAACCGACATAAAAGAATAAATGTTATGCAATTTAGTCTGTAAAAATATCAGAAGATAGCTATAAATTATTTGTAGCATCAAAAGTAAATAATTAATATAATTAAAGAATTAAAGTATTAGTGAATATAATTTTGATGGTAAAAAGAAAGAATTAAGTAAGGTGAATTAGTCTCCTGTACATTGTGATAGTGTATGATAGTTTTATTATAGAAATAGGTTCATTGTTTAAATTTTGATAAAGATAAAAGAAGATTTGTTACAGGGGCAAGAGATGGAGCTGCAAGAGTTTGGTAAACTGAAAGGAAAGGAGCATTTTATAATCCTTTGTTTAATTTGATTGGACATAAATAAAGAGTTACTGCAATCGAATTTCATGGAACTGGAAAAATTATAGCTTCATGTAGTTGGGATTAAAATATCCATTTATATAAAATATGAATATATTTCAAGTGAATGTTATTCTATATAATTCATAATCAATTTAATAATTCTCTATTTTATATATTATTTTAAGATAACATTCTAGAAGAAATAATTTTTAATAAAATAATTATTGTTAACAATTTATTTTTTTTGAAGTCATTCATTTATATTAGATTTGTTTATTTGATAAATACATTTAACTCTATGTTTAGCTTTTTCAAGTAATTTTTTTATTTGAACATCCATTTTTGTCATCATTTATATAATTATTTTATTATGATTTAAGTTAAGAAAGTATTATATTTAATATAATTATTTGATTGTTGTTTAATTCATCTATCATAATTAGGTAGCTTAATTTATCATATTATACTTTAATGAATCATTAGAGAAGTGAATTGAAGCAATATAATTTTAATGATAATATATAATTATATTTGGGTATCTTCATTGATTTTTAAATAAGTTTTTAAATATGTTAATGGAATTTCAAGCGATCAAATCTGAGATAATTATTGGAATGATTGTAATAAAACGTATAATAATGATAATAAGTTTCTGATTTTTTACTCATATATAAGCTAATTAAAGCTAGGAATTATAAAAAATAATTATTTTTATTCAAAAAAATTGCTGAGAATGAGTTACCAACTTCAACCAAAGCCTCTTTAATTATGTAATAATATGTAATATTTTTATAGTTTATTACTTACCTTATATTCATCAACTTGCTATGCCAATGGTCCCTTAATATCCAATTTGCAATTTTCCTTAGCAAATAAGTCCAATTTATTATCCATCAGCTCCTGGAAACTCATAAGATAATTGTATTATTATAGAAGATGATAATGTAAGTTTATAATTAGTAATTTGTATATAGATACAGCACCCACTGAACTAAATTCACTCAGTAGTGATACAACCATAAACTAATAGAGAATCAATCATCCTTTAAGATTAGGTTATGCAATAAGAATAATCAACATTAAAAATAACACACTAAAATAACAATTTGAATGAAAATGAACCTCATATTCGAATTACTGTATTTAAATAACATTCAAGTTAAAATGATTAAGAATTTATACTTTAAAATGATAGGTATTGTTATTTATAATCATTTAGAATTTTGGGATCTAATTATAAAAAAGAAATAATAATTGGAAGAAATAAACAATAAGATGATAAATAAGATAATTGTGACATATGTATTTCATTTTATTAATCATTTAAGATTTACCACATGGTGATAAGAATGTTGAAAAAGTTCATTGTAAAATTTTAACAGATAAAGGATTTGCTTTCTCAAATACTCTTACTAAACCTCTTCTCCTATTCTTTTCTCTCTTTAGGAATTATCCACATGCATCCAAACTACCTTTTTCAGTTGTTAAGCATATCTATTCTTTTATTAAGTAATTCTAATTATAATTATTAGAAATAAACCTTAATTTTATATAAGTGATAATGGAACTCGGACTGGTACTTTTATGAAAATAAAAAAAGATTAAATTAAAAATATTGAATTAGAAAATACATATTTAATAGGTGCAGATACTTTTTTCAATGTTTTGGAAATGAAATCTAAACCTAAATAAATAAAATCTAAAAAAGTCAAAGATTAAAATTATTTCTTTAATGCTTTGGCTAAAGAACATTTAAGAAAAGGAGCTAAAATTCATGGATTAACAATAGAAGAAACTGAAATGTTCAATATAACTTTAAATGAAATTAAAACTACTAAATAAAAATCAAGAACTGCATAAAAATTAAGTGAATATGATAGACCTTATTTAAAAATTACATTCGATAATTCAGCAATTCATTAAATATAAAATCATATTTTTATTGCTAACTACAATTAAGAATCTGTATACAAAATTGGTAGATCTTAAGAGTGTGATGTTTTAGTTAATATTAATACAGTCTCAAGAAGATAAGCATAAATTATTTATAAAAATAATGAGTATTTAAATATAATCTATTTATTAGATGGTTTATTCATGATGGAGAAGGATTCAGAGAATCAGCTAATGGAACTTGGCAATCACTTCAAAATTTTTCCTAAAGATATCATGAAAAAAAACAATAAAGCAAACCACAATTAATTGAAGATTAAATGGAAATTAAAATAAGTGAAAATATCATCAAATTTGATTTTGTTAATTTTGGTGTTACTAAGAAGTAATTAATTTATTATATTTTAGACGCAAACTAAATAAAGCATTAATTAACGATCTACTTAATCTATAGTGATTAAATTATATTGTAATAAGAATAAATTTTTTATTTCATCAATTCAAAAATTTAATTTTTAATTCATAACAAATTCAATTTAATCTTAAAAATTGAATTCATGATCAGGTAATTTTAAATGTAGAGCATCCTTAAATAATTATCTTTTCTTTTTATGCAATTATAATACTCTATCTTCTATTGTGTTTTCACAAATATAACTCATTATTTAAACACTTTTATCTTATCCTAATCTATGAACTCTTTCTATTGCTTAATCTCTAAAATAATTTAAACATTTACTCTACTGCTGGATTCCACCATGGATCAACTAATAAAACATGATTTGCACAGCAAAGATTAATACCATAAGCACCTGCTTTTAGTGATATAAGCATAACAGTAATATTTTGTTCAAAAAAGTCTTTAATAGCTGCTTTTCTTTAGTTTATATCCATTTTCCCTTATATATTTCTAGATTAAATTTTTCTAATTCTTAATTTACCTTCAATAAAGTTCATAATACTTAACCATTAAGTAAAAATAACTACCTTTTCATTTTTATTCTTAACAAATTCTATATATTTAATAATTTCATTTATTTTAGAACTTTCTTTATACCAAGGTTAAGTGTTAGGTATTTAAACATTTTAATTTGATTTCTAATCTTACTTTTCTGACCATTTATAAACAATTTTAATTTTATCATTTTTCTATATTTATGTTCTACATAAAGGACAAATTACACTTTAATTTTGTTTTTATAAGTTCTCAAAACAATCACTACAATAGAGATGTGTACAACCAAGATAATATATTTAATTTTTTATATTAAAAGCCTCTTAACAGATAGCACAATCTTCATTCTGTATTCTCTGAAAAATACTTTCATATTTTTTCTAAGTTTATTTATCATCCTATTTATCCTCATTAACTTTCTCTAATTATTATATATGATTTCTTAATTCTCTTTCAATTTCATCTTAATTCATAGGTTATTCTTATTAATTCTATTGATTTTATGTTTCATCAGCGGTCGATTAATATGAAATTTCATCAATTGAAAAATCATCATCTTCCTCAATTTCATCTTCTTAGTTTTATTAACGAAGATTCTCTTATTTCTGTTCTAATTTTAAAATAGTTGCTTTTAAACTCTATTCTAAATTTTATTAAGCATTTTGAATAAATTATTTTATTAACAATTCAGATTTTTATTTATTTGCTGTAAATTATTGTATAGTTTTATTTCTAAGTTTACTAACTACAAGTCCTACATGATCACAACATAATCTCAATAAAGAAAGCAATTAAAAAATATGCATATATCTACTTCTAATTATCTTTTATTTCATACCTATACCAAAATACTCTTTCAATTACTTACAAGTATTAACATATAATGTATTATAAACTATTATAAATAATATAAAAATACATTCTTGCTCTTCTTTGGATAAATTTACCTTAACTATAATATGCTTTTTAATAGGTAAATTTAATTAACATATTATAGAATCTTATTATTTTGTTCTTCTTAATAAAATAGGTTTTAGTATTTCATGTAATAAATTGAATTTTATTGTATTATCCTATTACTTATTTATATAATGATTAAACCAATAATAATCTTAGAAAGTTTCAACTTACAGAAAATGAAATAGACTAAATAAATCTTCTAAATGATTTTAAATAGGAGTTCCTGTTAAACACCATCTACATTAAGCTTCAACAGATGATGCAGCTTTTGCACAAGTTGTACTTTTACTTTTTATTATATGAGCTTCATCTAATATTATTCTTTCCCATTCATAACTATACAAAAACCTATTTTTAGTAAAGTCTTATTTTAGAACTCCATATGTTGTAATTACAATATCATAAACTTCTAATTTAATGTCTTTTTATCTGGATTATGGTTTATAAAATTGATAAACTTCCAATTTATTTTATTAAGTGTGTTTTTCAATCTCTTCTATCCAATGTTCAAATACACTTTTTTGAACTACTAAAAGTGTATTACCATACTTTTTATCCAATTTTACTTTTTTTTTGTAAGGTTCTTCAGTATCATCATTTTATTATTATTATTTCATTTCTCTTGATAATAGTATTAATGCAAGTGAACAAATAGTTTTTCCTAAACCCATAGCATCTGCTAAAATACCTCCCTTTACATCTTTGGAAGGAACAGAATTTTCTGAAAATTAGCCAGTTAATTCATTAAAATAAATATACTCATTAACATTAAGTTTTATTTCACTCCACATTTTATTCAAATTTTATTGTTAATTCTGAAGATTTAATACTTCAGCAGTAATTCTTTATTCACGATATAACATCCAATTAGTTGCTTAAGCTTAATAAATAAATAAATTGTTTTTCAAATCCTAAGGCTATTAACAAATTGTAAATTGATATGATTCTTATTCATTAACACTAAACAAATTTTAATTATTTTCTTCTTATTCAATTTTATTTATAGATTAATATTCTAATTCATCTATTTTAATTTATTACTCAATTTAATTTATTTTTTCTTATGTGACATTCACCTATTCATCATTTTTAAGGTTTGATGGAATAAGAAGTTTCTAACAGAGTTGGTTCCTTTTAAAATATTCAAGTTTACGAAATTTATCAACTAAAAACTAATCTAAAGATTTTGTTTCTTATTTAGGTCTTAGAGAAGCTCTAATTGAAAATTTGAGATTTAATATTTCAAATAAAATTAAAAAAGATTCTTTTGCATATTAATGAACCAATTTTTATCTACGTTTTTCTCTTTTTTAGTCTTTTTGATTTTAATTATCTTTGTTAATATCATTTATAATCTTTTCTTATTCTTAAAATGATTTTTCAAGCAAATAAACTTTAAATTAAACCACATAATTAAATTAAGTAATTTCTATAACAGAAATGCTTAAAGAGACATAATTATAATTTATCAAAAATGACCAAATTTCTTAATATAAATGATAAACTTGTATACACTTTATATAATAGATATATGTACATATTAATCGTCTTCTGTTGATAATACAGAGATAATATCAGTAGGTTTAAGCTTGGTTTATTACTTTCCACTTTAAAATTCATTTTCTTCAAATTATAAATGATCACTTTGAATCTTTAATTATTAATCTTAAAAATTCTACATCAATTTTACTTAATTATAATGTAACATCACAATGATTAATGGGATATTGAAGAGTAAACATGCCTAAGTATTTCTTCATTGTAAATTTAATAAAACAATTAATACAAATAAACTAATTAAGATGACAATAGAAAATTATTAATAAATATTATATATTTATTGATTAATTCTATATATATTAATGTAAATTCAATTCATAATCCTGTATAACTCAATCCCATAAACTTTCTTTTTGCAATACCAGTCCAAAATTTAGAGTCAAATGTTCTTTTCCCTTCTTTAAAGAACCTTAAAGAACTTTTTAAAAATGATTACTTTGCAATTATTTCTTTTGCAAGAATATCTTTAAGTCCCTTCAAATATGCTTATATTTTATCTGTTTCTCCTGGTATTTCTTTAAGGAGTCCACCAAGAAAGTTTTTTTTATCTCCACTTCTTGTTGTAATAGCTTCTCTAGCAATTTCATCAAGCTTTTTAGCAGCAGCCTATTAATCTTAGTCATTTTCTATAGTTTTTATCATATGTGCAGCTACAACCCATAAATAAATCAATAAAATATCAGATGGTCCTAAAAATCATATCAATTTAAAGACCTTCATAATTATAATTTTTAAAGAATGTCATTAATCTAAAATATTCTAAAGATTCTTAGACGATTCCTTTTTAAGATCTTTAATCATCAAAATAAGCTAAGCCACACAATGTTCTATCACTCTTTAATTTTGCATGACAGACCTTAAATTAAATAAGGTATTATTATTACTGATGGATCTATTGTGACTACTGTTTATTGCATCTATAAATTTTAGATTAATATAATAATATATATTAAAATCAAAGTTTTTTATTTTTTAGCATCTTAACAAATTCTTCATATGATATTTATCCATCTCCATTATTATCACAATCAGTTAATATTTAATTCCAAACATCATCACCTAAATCTCCCATTATAGCTTCTAATTCTTTTTTTGATATATAACCATCTCCATTCTATATTATAATTAATTTTTAACCTAATCAAAGATTTTAAATGCTTATTCAACTCTTTAAACAGATAATAATTTCTCTTAATTCATAGCAGCCATACAAAATTCTGAGAAATCAATTTAACCTGATCTATTTATATCAATCATCTATAATATTCTTTCAACTTCATCTTCTGCTAATTTATGATCAGTTTAGATTTAAAGATACCCTTTCAATAATTCATCTTTAGATAAAAAACCATCATTATTTTCATCTAATCTCTAAAATTCTTCTTACAAATCTTAAATCTCTTTTTAAGTAGACATTTATGTTATCATATAAGACATTAAAGCTTATTTTAAAATAGTTTCTGCCTATCAATAAATATTATATATAAATATACTTAAAATTATCTTAAATTATTTAATACTTTTTTATTGACTTATGTTGATGGTGCATATTTAATAAGCCATGGATCTTCTAATGCTTATTTAGCAGAAAGTCTTTTATTTGGATCCATTCTTAGTAATTTTGTTATAAATTCTTTTGCTTCATTTGAAACTGTATCCCAATCATCAGCTATCAATTACCTCATTTAATTTACGATCAAAACTGAATTTTCCCAATTTTACTCTGTCTAATATTTAATTTTCAGATTTCCCCACAAATGGTGGGTATCCACATAACAATATATATAATATCACTCCACAAGACCAAATATCACATTTTTCAGAATAAGAATGTCCAAGAACTTCAGGAGCAATATAATATGGCTATAAATAGAATTTTTTTCAAATACCGTTCCCAACCTTTTACTCATTTATTTTTAATTGTCAAATTTTCTAGATGTTCCAAAATCTATTACTTTTAATTAAGATTATGGATCTTCGCTTATAAATATAATATTTTCAGGTTTCAAATCTCTATGTACTATATTTTATTCATGACAATGTAATGTTGCCAATAAAATCTGTCGAATATAATCTGCAGCTATACTCTCACTAAATGAAGACATCTTTTTAATACGATCGAAGAGTTCTCCTCCTGATAGATATCTAGATATTCTTATCAACTTACTCAGTTACTAAATAATAATTATTCTCATCCTAAAATAACTCAAATAATTTCACTATATGAGGATGATCTAAATTCTTTAAAATATTCATCTCAGAAAACAATCTTTACTCTTCCTCTTTTATTATTGAACTTTTTTTTATTTATTTTATTGCTCTTATTAACCCAGTAGTTTTATGAGTCACTTTCCATACCTTACCAAAAGCACCTTAACCTAAAACCTTACCAAAATTATAATGAGACCCTATAGATCCCTCTTTTAATTTTACAAATATATCAAACCCTAATTTTATTTTTTTACCTACTGATCCTGCTCCATTTCCTCCTAAACTTTTATTCATATCTTCCTTTTTATCTAAACACATAATAACTTATTTCTACTTTATTCGTTTGTAATTTTTTGTGATTACATAATCTCATTATTTTTAGGTTATTCATCTTTTATAGTTAATACCTATTGCTATTCAGGTTCCTAATGTACTTCACTTTCCAAAACATATTCACATTATTTTTAACCAATTTATGATTGCATTTCTTCTACTTATGATTTTTTGCTTCCTTATTAAGACAGCGAGATTTTTTATTCTGGAGGCTTTGAAGAATCAGGATTAGGTTAAGTATCTATTTCATCTACTATACTATGAAAAAAATAACCTTTCTATAATCTTGAAACGTCTTGACAACATACATTACCCATTTTAAATGTAAATTTTCAATTGAATTAAATAAGAAATATTATATATATTTTAAACTTTACAAGAAAAATAATTTACTGTAAAATCTTTTTAGAATTTGTTTAAATTCTAAAAGATATTATTATTTTCATTAATTTACTGCATGACTAATAATTAATTATCTTTTCATATATTTTTTAATTTGTTTTTCAGATTGCGTATCACTAAATTGAAATTTTGTTTACAATTTTCATTTAAAGAAAATAGAATATTTTAATCATTTACTTTTTATAATATATTAAGTTATATCTATTTTCTTATCTCTTATATTTTGGAAATATTTTAAGCAAACAAAATTATATGATATTTTATTTTTCTTTTATTCATTTGAAAGTATAAACATTCTCAAGTTATTTATATTAAACTTTTAATTATTAAAATAGTCTTTTTTATTTATTATTTTTTGTACCTTTTGTTAAATATAAGTTTAATAAACAATTATTTTATTATATATCATTTATTTTCATCATACAGGAGTTCATAAAGAATAAATTCCATTGTTTTCTCACTCATAATAAAAATATATTTCCCATTATTAGTCACAGTTCCATAAAAAAATATTGTTCCACAAGTAATAGGTTCGGTTTCAATTTCCATTTCAAATTACTCATTAATCTTTATCAGGTATAAATATCGATTATGTTTTAATAATAACATTTACTTATCTTCATTGAAACTTGCTTTAAATGTTGCGAACTCCAAACTTTCCTATTCTTTTATCATATCTTTCAATTACAATCTTTAATCAATTTTTTCTTAAAATTTTCCATTTTCCATCTTGCATATATTTATAAATGGCTAATGTACCTAACTCCAGACTAAAGTTTCATCAAAAATGAAACTAATTCCACTTCCAAAATCATAAACAATTGTATCTATAAAATATTTAAATTACCATTTATTATTTTCATCTTTTTCCCATAAAATAATTAATTTATCTTCGCCTAATGATGCCATTTAAGTTTCATTTGGATTTACATCAATTTAAATAAGATTTTTTTAATGCTTTTTTAATTAATATAAAAGTATTATTGTATTTTGATCATAATTTACTCCTAAAATGTCTATATTGATATCCTTTCCAAATGATATTAATTAATCTTCTTTTTTATTCAAAATTTAAGTATTGATTTCTTTAGAATGAAATTTGAATGATTTAGAACATTCCCATTTTGAAGAATTAAACCATCCTTTCTTTTCTTTAGTTCTCCAAATTCTACTAGAACCTCGACAAGTGGCTGATATAAACCAATTGGCTTTTTTGCTAAAAACTATTGATTTGACATCATTATCGTGTCCGTTCAAATTCTCTTTTTCATCTATTAACTTTCCATCTTCCAATTTTAATAATCTCACCTAATTACCAAGACCTAAAGCAATAATAGTATCATTATAATTAAAAGCCATAGTTTTACAAAGTCTTGATGATTTCATTTCTTAAATAATTCTATATGATATAGATTTGTTTTTTTTTATTTGAGAATTAACTTTTATTTTTTCGGTATAATTTTCTTAAATACTTGATTTAAAAATTGATTACTATTCAACTTTTTAATAAAGAACAAGGTCTTCATTTTTATCTAAAATTTAACTTTTCAAAACTTTGAATGATTATAGTTTATCATTTCTCTAATCAGTTGATATACCAAAATTAATGCTCAATATTTCTTAAATTTATGTTAACTAATTCTCTTGAAAAAGAGTATTTTATAATATTGATATTCCATTTGATAATTTTGTAGAATAAGTTTCTTTAGTTTATCTAACTATATCCTCAATGTAATTTTTTTCCAATTCTATTAATTTTTCAAATGGTAAATGTAGATTCTTTAACTCATCTAAAAAATTATAATTAGAAGATTATTAAATTAGACTTATTAATTCGTTTTTCCAATTATTGATAAAAGCACTAACTTAATCTATAGACATTAATATATTTGTTTTCATATATTAAAGTAATGCAAGGATCTCATTTAAATATTGATTATTGTTTTCAATATAATTTTTCAATTCATTTTAGCTTGTATTCTTGACCTCTTAAATTTTTTCTATAGCTGAATTAATTAATAGACCATTTATTTCTCCACGATTATCAACTAAACATTTTTAACATAATAATCTTTAGCTTCCTTTTAGATCTTTATCAAGTAAAACCATCACTATAGAATTACCACTATGATTATTCTTGCAAACTAAATCCCCCAATTTTTCAATCATCTTACAAAAAAATGTTCGATATTAAAATGAAAATTATTTAATAGGCAGATATTTTGAATTTTCAAATATCTACTTTATAAATCAAGTGTTTAATTAATAATAAGTATTTTAAATAAGAATTAAGAGAATGGCATATTTTTATAAAAAAAATTTGGAAAACTTTGTTTCCACTACTAAATGTAAAAGTAATTTTTATTTCTGATTTAATAGTGCTCAAAGAAGTCAAATATAATATTCTTTTCCTTTTAAAAAGCACATTTAAATTAAATTCCTTCTAGAATATTAATTTAATCATTGACAAAATTTTATTTTACTATTTTATCCATATCCATATTCCCCTTATATAATTAATTAATAATATTGATTTATAGATTTATATAAATTAGGAATTTTGTTACGCATCAATAAACAAATAAAAAAATCAATTTTTGTTAATCAAAATATCGAACACATACAGGCTTTCGAATCACTATTAACATATTTATTTGATGCAATCGACTTTTTCGATTTTTCTTTCTTTTTTTTTTCTTTCTATTCATCCATACTTGATTTTATTTTATCCATTATTAATTATTTGAAAGCATCTTAATTAACTTAGAAGGATTAATTGCTGATAGATCTCATACTTTCATTACAAATCTATAAAGATCCTTAACAGTTCATTTTTTCAATTGCTTAAGTAAAATCTTCAATCTAATAATTTGCTAATTCTTAAGCAGAATTGATAATGCATTGTAAAGTTTATTTGTAATGATTCTTTGCTTAAATTGTATTAAGAATCCATCTTAACACTTCTTAATCTTAAATATTTTGCAACTTAATTTCCTCCTCTCCACTAATCTCATATTATTTCAAGCAATTAATCTCAAAATTAATTACATAATAGATCTTATCAAGTGAATAAGGTTTTGACGGAGTTTAGAGAATAGATTTATCTATTTACTCTTCTTTGTTGAAATTAAGAAGTTCCATCAATAACGATCCATTTTTCTATAATTTTTTTGTTTATTGTCTATATTAAGTTCTATAGCTATTTTTTTATTTATATACATAGCACTGTAGATACTAGATTAAGTTTCTGCACTTTTTTATGAATCAATACTTAATCCTTTAATGTCAGAGGATTTTTCATCTATTTTTTTGGATTGAACTACTTTATTAATTTTTCTAACTTCTAATAATTATGTGTAAATATAATTAACTAAAAGTTCTTCATTACTGAATTGTGTTTTAAACCAAAAATCAAATTCTTTCAAACTATCCTATAAAATTTTAATATTAATCATAATACTTGCAAAGATTGAATTTTTTAAAGCAAAATTTCTTCATTCTATGATGAATTTATTTTAGAGGATATAAAACAATTACTGATATCTTTACAGTAATTTGAAATCTCAAAAATCATGATTAATTATAATATAATTTAATAAATTAAGGAAGCAAAAAATTGATTTTAATAATAATGATGTCATATATGAACAAGTATATATCAATTTTCACATTCTCATCACTAAATTTACATAATTCTTATTATATTACACATTTTTTGGATCGAATCTTTTAATTAGTAACTTTACTTTTTTAAAGTGAGTGAAAATCTTGGATATCAAACATATCAATAGTATAAACCATATAGTATATGAAAATACTAAACATGAAATTAATAATCTATCTCTAGCAATCTTTTAATACAATTCAAAAAATGAAAAGTATGTTAGTAATCCAAAAATGGCTAAGATAAAAAGTAAAAATAAGATTTCAAATATCAAAGAGGACTTATTTTTTTTCCATTAACTACAATCGAAATTAATAACACCATCAACATGCCTAAATTGATTACAGTTTTTGCATTAGATTTGTTCTAAATATGGTCCTTATTCTAGAAAATCATTAGCACATTTCTGATGAGCTGAAGAACATTAGCAAATAGGAAATAAATTATATCTTTCACCACAAAAACAGCAACTATTTTATTAATCAGTTATCATAGCATCATCAGTATTGTTTCTTATCTATAATGAATTAGATTAATCGTTATTATTTATTAATATTTTAGTTTCATTAGGAGATGCTTTTTATTACAATGAATTATCAAATTATGAAAAATCTCCTTAATAAGTTTTTTATTTAATCACAGTGACTTATTCATCTTAATCTTCAATTATTGAGTTTCTTGACTTTTCAACTTTAACTGATTATGTGATTTTAATACGATTATTATTGTTTTATTGATCTTTTAGTTAATTAAGTATTTAAGGAGATTAAGGAGCTTTAATTATTGACATTTTAATTTTTATTATTGAAAAAAAAATGATAGATAGACATTTTATATTAGAAAATGTGAAGTGATTTTTGAGTTGAAAATTATATTTAATAATAGTTTTACAAAATGGAATAAAAAATTGATAATTGAAAATATAGAATGCTAAATAATTTAAATTATAAAAATAAGAAGTTAATAAATAATGAGTTGAGAATAGAAGATGCTAGAAAATAAATATAAATGAATTAAATGATTTTCTATTTATAATTAAGGATTTTAATTATATTTTAGAATATATATTTAATTATTAAACAAAAATGACTGAATCATATTTGAAATAACAAAAGTTAGTAACTCATACTTGGTCTCCAGATGGCTAATATGTTGCCCTTTCTATTAAGAATTCAAGCAATGCAGATATTTTTAAAGTTGGTTAATTAGAGAAGATTGGAACATGGTAAAGAGTAGCTACGTTAAAGGATGCATCATAATAAATTAATGTGTTATCTTGGTCAGCAGATAACAAGATATTAATAGGAAGTGATGATAGAAGCGTAAATTATAAGATGATGATAGGTTTTTGTATATAGAAATAATAATAATATATGGAGTAAAGATTTAGTAATCTTAACAAATGAGAAAGCCATTTTATCAGGAGAATGGGCTCCTAATGGATAAAAGTGTGTTGTAGGCACTGCTTGTCATAAGGCTTTTATTTTATATTTTGAAGAAAAAAACAATTGGTGGTATAATTGTTAGATCAATGGCTTTTATTCAAGTGTAACTACTTGTAGATTTCATCCAAGTGGAAGAGTAGTTGGATTAGGGTCAACTGATTAAACATTTAAATTAGTTTCATGTGTAATTGAAGGAAATTAAAATTTTGAGGATTAATCATATAATGGTGTATTTAAAGATATTACATCATTCGGAGTAATCCTTGCAAATATAGCTTTAAATGGATGGGTGAATTCTATAGATTTTACACAATCAGGTAATAAATTCGCAGTTGCTGCTCATACAGGATTAATTAAATAATATAGTTTTAATGATGATGGAACTGTAATTGCTGATCCAGATAATGAATCTAAAAATGTAAATAGATATTTTATAATTAGGCTACTTATATAAAAGAAGCAAAACCATTCAATAAAATAATTTATTTAAATGATTAAACTTTGATAGGAGTAGGATATGATAGAAAGCCAGCCCTTTTGAGTAGCGAACCATCTATTAAATTTACATCATTTATTGAAAAAAGTTTAGCTGCAGAAGGAGAAGTCTCAAAATCTGGAGGTATAGCTGCTGCTAAATAAATGTTTTCTGGAAAAGGTAATTAACAACTTTATTATTTTAGGATAGAAAACAGACGAAGGTAAGTTTGGACATTAAACAGCTATCACTTGCATTAACAAAATTAATGATAGTTTAATATCTACAAGTGATGTTAATGGTGTTATAAACTTTTGGAGAATATGATATAAATAATAATACAATCATGTAACAATTACAAAATTTATATATTATAATCCATTCTATTAATTTTTCTCTATCTAATGAAATTATATTAAAAAAAACACAAATCATTTCATAATAAAATTTAAATTAGTATCATTATTTTAATAATTATGCTTATTCTTTCAGATATTTTTCCATATTCATTTCTGCATTTGAAATAGCAAAACCACATTTTGCCTCTTAGTATAAGTAACGATCATTTTCAACCATTTCTAAGGCCTTTAAAAAACTATTTTTTCCTTCATTATATGATCCCATTTAAGCAGAAACTGCACCAAGTTTCATGTGTCCTTTGATTATACTTTCTGTATCTTTTAACTCATTTGCCAATTATAGAAACTTTTCTATAAATAACTAAAAATGAATCAAACATATACTTTCATCTTTTCAGCATTATCATATAACCCTTTTTATCCTATGCGTCCTATATTAGCAATAGCTATTGTTTATCCTAATTTACTTTACATGTTAATTGCATGTTTCAATGCTTACTAAAAATAAAACATAGACAACTAAGAATTGGCATCGTAACATAAACCCAAATTTATTGATGCCAAAAATTTACCATTACTATCTGAAATTTCTTCATGTTTTTTATGAAATTCAATTGCTTTTTCAATTAATTTTGGATTTATCTCAGCCATTAATTAATAGTCTACTCCTATACAATTATATGCTAAACCACATCCATGCAAATCATCTATTTTTAAGCATATTTTTAAAAATCTTTCGTATTATTTTATTGCTTAATTCCATTTACCCATATTATCTAATAATACTCCCATACTATAATAAGCTCTTCCTTCATCTTTAATCTTACCTCCTCTTTTACACGCAAAAGCCAACATTTCATAGTCTTTTAATCTTCTTTGAGATTGTAGATAAATACATAATTCAGGAGCTTAAAGAGTTTTTGGATCATTTTGTTTTTCAGACAATTGAATTTTATTTTTCTCTTTACCTAATATTAATTTATACATTCATGTTCTTAAATCTTGCTGGAGTATTAAAAAAACAGGGTAATTCTATTCTTTATGGTTAGTTAGTTGTAATTGAACATCCTTAAGTTTGAGAAAACATTCTGAAATTTCTTACTTAGTTTTCTTCTGCTAAGGAAGATGTTGGCCTTAAAGAATAATTTCTATGAGTTTTGATGTATGTATTTCTACTAACTTAAAGTGATGATTTCATATTTTAAATAACAATATTATTATGTTAAATGTGATTTAATATAATATTTATAATTTTACTTTCAACTCAATTTTTAAATAATCTCTATATAACTATATATAATGATTAATTATTAAGAATGCTAAAACAATTATTTTTTAGTTAAATATTAAAAAATTATTTGATCATTTAAGATAATAATTCATCATTTTTTATTTAAAAATTTTTATTTGATCAAGGAGAATAAAATATTTGTGTTAGATCATAATCAATTTATAGTTCTGGTTTATCAAAATTTATTTGCTAATCTAATTTTATACCTTTATATAATATTTAAAATTCTTATTTTTATAATTTAAGCTATATCTTTATAAATATAATTATACTGGTTCATCATCATTTGAAGGTGATAACCATAATAATAGGAGAGTTTATTTCAAAAAATAGTTAGAAGAAATTGTTGTACATTAATTGTTTAGATGTAGAATATAAATAAATATAACTATGAAAATATAATTTTAAGTTAATTTCAAAGGCCTTAATTTTCTATTTATTATAAAAGATTTTAATAAAAAGAAATATTCTAATAATAATGTTAATTAATACATCTTAGGCATTTTTTTTAAAGTATTGACTCATTTCTCTAACTAAACAATAATAACTCTCTGAAAAAATCTTTTTTAAAAATTCTATCTCGATTGCTAATTTATTTGTGATTAAATTATAGATTGAAATCTTTATTGTCAGTTCTTTTTCAAACTATATTAGTTGTAAAAAATTACTTGTTTTAATTTAGATAATTATAATTCTATTTCTTCATCTTTAGTGATTAATATTTTCTTTATTATATTTAAACCCTTATTTTAAATTTCAGAAACATAATTAACTTATTTTTTAAGTTATTTTTTCAAAGATTAAATCTCTAAATATAATTGCTTTTTCTCTTAAATTACTCCATTTAACACCTAATAAATTTAATTATTTATTTTTACTTAAAATTCATTTAATTCAATTTTAATCTAAGTATACATGATATAGAATTACTTTTCGTTATCACTTAAATCAAAATCTTTTTGAACATCGAAAATCAATTTGCTTGATGATCGAAATTGTAATTCTTCAAAATTTTCGTTTAATGATGTCTCATATTCAGGTATAAAATAATTTTGAAAAATATTAATTTGTTAAAAATAATTTTTACTACTTATTTTCGTAACTTTTACCTTTTATTTATTTAGTTTTTCATGATTAATTTATAATTTTGTAGTATGGGAGTAGCATTTTAAATAAAAAGGAAAAATTATTCTATTATTGTTTCATTTTATTAGCTAATGGGATTTTCTGCAAATTGTGGAAATATTGAAATCAAATAATCAGCATAATTCTTTTGCTATTGATTAGAATTACTTTCCTAAATATTTGGTTATCTTATGAAATTTTAAACTTCCTGAGAATACCACAAATATTAAAAATGAGATAATTATCTCATAAAATAATTTAACATTTGCAATCTTTAATATACAAATTATTAAGTCATATTTCCCTTAATTTATAATAGAATTAAATACTTAAATAGCTTTTTCAGGTATTGCAGGTATATAACAATATTGCCATTTTTCTACAAGTTACAATCTTAATTAATAGAATTCACTAAAACGACGTTAAATTTAAAAATTGCCTGTTCTATCTTAACCTTAAATTTTGTAGATAATGAATTCCTCTTGATTTTATTTAATAGTAGGATCTTGTACTATGACATCTATTTTATTTTATTCAATAATATAATCCTGCATTTATAAATATTAATATTGGCTTCCCCGTTTTAATCAATTTAATAATGGAATATATTTCTAAATCAAATATTGCTAAAATGGTTGGTAATACTTTAGCAAATACTTCAGCAACTGAAAGATGTAAGAAGATTATCTCTTGGAGTTGGGAGATGCTAGGTTCAATATTAATAATGATGGGATCTCCTATTTCAGTGAAGGGTTTGGATTCTGATGATGAATGCAAAGATAAAATAACAGTAAAAGAAACTTAAAAAGAGTTTACTCTTGTTTTAGACTTAGATGAAACTTTAATACACTCTGATATGGAAAGAACTTCATTTCTTGATGAAGAAATCCTAGTTAAAATAGGAAATAATATAGAAAAATATTATGTAAAAATTAGGCCTTTTGCAAGAGATTTCTTGAAAGCTTTATCAAAATATTTTGAATTAGTTGTTTTTACAGCTGCTATAAAAGAATATGCAGATAAAGTTATTGATTATTTAGATCCATGTGGATTCATCAAAAGAAGATTCTATAGAGATGTAACCAAAATTATTATAAATTGATTAGAGCTGTACTAAGAAAGATGGAGTGTTTTATAAAGATTTAACTAAAGTTAATTCAAATTTAGATAAAACCTTTATTATTGATAACTCATTTTCAGGAATGTAATTAAATCCATGTATTTTTATGAAACTAATTTAGAAAATGGAATCCTTATAAAATCATGGTATAATGATTTAAAAGATTAAGAATTGAAAATCTATGAGGCAATGTTAAAAAAATATGTTAAATCCAAAGATAACATTATTAAGTCAATTAGCTAAATGAAAAGAAAGTATCCTAAAAATGTATTGAATTGAATTAATTAAAATTTCACTGTTATTAAAAAGTATCATCCTCTTCTTCTTCGTCATCGGGTTGCCAATCTCCACTTGAATCATTTATACTAGATTCTTATTCCTATTAAATTGGATTACGTAAACGACCCAACCTAAGTTATTTTAACTAATTTACATAGATTATAAAAAGCTTGTTAAATATCCTTAATTATTTTGTTTTTCTTTAACATAAATTTTAACTTACTTTCTGTCTATAACTTGATTTAAATTTGATAAATTATCTTCACAAACTTTTGCAACAGTACTTCTATTTTAAATACTTTTCAATATTTTTAGACTTGTATTTGTTTCTAAACTATAACATTATTTATGTTGCTTAGTTTATTAAGCTGTATAAACATCTACATTTTTCTATACCTCTTATTGCATATAAATTAATTTATGAATATTTATTATTTAATAATTTATTACTAATGTACTATAAATAAGTATTAAATCAACGATTTGTTCTTCTCTTTATCTTCTATATTATTTTAATATTAATTTATTTCAATTTTCATATAACTTTCATCAATATTATTATATTTTAATAAAAATGAAGTTTGAAGAAATCATAAAAAAGTATGTGAGTCCAATAAAGAGATTTGATCATGTTCTACCAAATAATTATACAGCCTAAGACATCTATCATTATTATGAGGATTTGGTAATTAAAATAGTTATGTAGGCTAAATTTAATGAAATTGAATCATTCACAAAAATCAGATTTTCTAGAAAGTTTGCAGAAGTAGCATAAACTTAAGATCAAATGGATTGGTTGAATGATAGAGCAAAAGAGATTTCTAATGTTGCCATGAGTTTATTCAAACTAAGATTTCCTTAATTGTGAAAATAAAGATATTAAAATAAAAACAATAATGTTCATTATTCAATCATACTTCTTTAGAGAATTATCCTTTTGATATTTCTACAAGTAAAGGATACTAAATTTCAGACGTTAATTATTCTTATGCCCATTATAATAATTTCATTAATGTTCTTAACTTAGCTTCATCATTTCCTAAATTATCCTTATATAAATGTTAGTTAATTTCACTAGCCACTTTAATTCTTTATGAATTTTAAAGCAAATGATTTAATGGATTCTTTTTTATATCTGAAAAGGCAATTAAAGTAATTGCTTTTTCTATTTCCTCAACTAATTAAGGCTAATTAAGAATATAGTTTATACTTAATCTGGTAAAAATGATATAATTTCACTTTAAGCATATTTAATAGCTTGATCAATTTAATTTTATTTAATGAGTTCTATTAATTTTTGTGTTTTCAATTTTAAAAGAATTAAATTATTATTTTTATGAACCACTTTCTCCAACGCTGAGTCAATATCTCCATTTAAAATATTTTTCTTTATTTCTATTCTTTCTATCATTTAATCTAATTCTTAAGTTGAAACTAATTAAAAAAATATAATAATTGAATTACATTAGATACCAGCTTCTTTAGAAAATTCTATTGCAGCATCTCTATATCCTTCAACAATAAAGAAATTTAGAACTAATTGATTGATTAAAGATTTAGGTATATTTATGGTGTTTTACTTTTAATGCCATTCTAATGCAGATATTTTTTCTTAAATTGAATTCATTTTATTATAATAAAAATAATGTTATTTATCAAAATTATTCATAATCTAAATCGTCATACTATTAATTCGGTAAAAGAGGTTTTGATTCAAGAACACCTAAGTTACATAAACATAAAGTGGCTATTGATTTTTCATTTAAATGATTTGCACACTTTAAAAAAATAAAAATAAAAATTACTAAAATTGCATTTTTCAAAATTTATGTTTATACTTCAGTTGAAGTTTAAAGATATCCTGAAATTTTAATAAGATTCAATAAGCAATCTAATTGTAATTTGTGATTTTTCAATCTTCTAGCTAACTCATAACAATTCTATTGATCTTTAAAAACTTTACTTGAAAATTTTCAAATGCTTAATCATATTATTTGACTTCTAAAAATACTATTCCTAATTAACCATAAGAAATGCATGATGATTCTGCTTCATCTCTTTTTTATGCCCATTCCAAAGCATTTGAAAAATAATCTATAGATTCTTCATAATTTTTTAATCTTCTATAAGCTAATCCCATATTATAGAATCCTGTAAACATATTTTCTTGATCTGAATATTACAAATTTTGTTTATGAAATTCAATTGATTTAGTAAAATTACCTGCATTATAATAATTAAAGCCTACTCTATTAGTACCTAATGCCATTCCTATTTTATCTTCCATTAACTTAGCACAAGCAACAAATTTCTTATAAAATCTCACTGCTTCATTATGATTTTTACTACTCTCATAAACCATTCCTAAATAAAATGATAAATGAGCTTCTTTTTAAATATCACCTGCTTACATACCAGCCTTGGCTCTTACAAGTAAATCTTTAATACTAGTTCTATTATTTTCTTTAACATTATGTGTATAAGGTATTGATGGAGCATAACCATTTCCAGGTGTTAATGGAGATGCAATACTAGCATTAGGTAAATCTGGTGGTTAAACAGATATCTATTAATCAAAGAATTAAAAGTTAGTTTCAGGTTGAACAGGTAAATCCATTTAAGCTACTTTATCAATTTCTTTTTTTAAATCTATATTATCTATTGGAGCTGTTGATTTCATTAATTATTCATTTAGTAATGAACCTAATAAATTTTTTACTGGTTTATCCTCATCATCTTTAATATT